AGGGTTCGTCGCGCCGAGCATGACACGGCCGGTCTTCACGGCGTCGAGGCCCTCCCAGACCATGGCGACGACAGGGCCAGAGGCCATGTACTTGATCAGGCCGGGGAAGAAGGGCTTGCCTTTCAGGTCGGCGTAGTCTGTTCCGCGCCGATCTCCGTCAGGACCTCTGCGCGACAAGGACGGACACCACCACTCACGCTTCTCGAGGTGCTCGGGCGTCGCGTGGACGAGCTTGAGCGCGATGAGCTTGAAGCCGCGCTGCTCAAAGCGGCCGATGATGTTGCCCACGAGCCCGCGCTGGACACCGTCGGGCTGGAAAACGCAAGGCGGTCAGCCGGGCGCGCACACACGCCTCCGCCCCCGCGCGAGCGCACCTTGACCATGATGTAGGTGCGCTCCTTGACAGACATTGTGGGCGAGCTGGGTGTGTCGAGGGGGCGGGGGATGGATGGATGGATGGATAAAGAAACGCAGAATGAACGTGCTCAAGTTTTATAGCAGGCTCTGATCACTCCCAAATCGGGCGATCAAGCGGCCGCCACTGATCGCACACAGAGCCAAACACCGGGCAGGCTCGTCACGACCCGCGACGCCCGACAGCGCGCATTGCAAAGTTACTGTACTCCACTCTATAGACACATCCTCGCCATGGTCGGTGGCCCCCTCGGTCTCTCGCTCGCGCCCTTCATCACCAAGAACAGGACCCTCTACAGATGGGTCAAGCCCGTCGCCAACTGGTATGCCGACCTCTCCGGGTACAGGAAAATGGGCTACAAATATGACGACCTCCGTGCGTGTCTTTTGCTGCCCCTCACACTCACTCGCGACTCTGGCTCATTCTCCTGGTCCGCGCGCAGTCGTCGAGGAGCGCGATGACGTTCAGCGGGTCAGTACGATTGCACACATATACCTCTTGCATGCGTTCTGAGTTTCCAACTGCAGGCCCTCACGCGTCTGACCCCGCGCGAGCATTACGACCGCCAGTTCCGCCTGAAGCGCGCGTCGCACTGCAGTGTTCTCCACGACATCCTTCCCAAAGACCAGTGGATAAAGGCTGAGGAGGTTCGTTTCTTGCATCCCCGGCCCCATTTCGCTCGTCCTCATGGGTCATGTTAGGACGTCCGCTACCTCAAGCCTCATGTAGAGAGCGTGGAGAAGGAAGACCTCGAGAGGAAGGCTTGGGAGAACATGGTTATTGAGAGGAAATAGAAGTTCGCCGATTCAGACACGTCCTTCACACTGCGTACATTTTTCCTAATGAAATATCGTCCGTGGCCCCCCCCGCGCACTCAGCGGAGAAAGCCGCACTCAGTGATGACGGACTACTGCGAGAAGCCCGTCTGATAGACGTAAAATGATCGCATGCTATCACCACATGAGTAAGATGAAGAACTTCTATTGTCTGCTCCCTTGGGTACATGTTAATACACCTCTTTACACCGCTCTTGTACAGTAGTTTCTAATTTTTCGCAGGCACAAAATTCAGTAACCTCAAATCGCCTTGACCAGGGGCGAAATAACCTCTCCTCCCTTTTGCTTGTAGAAGGCGACAATCTTCTTGCCCACGGCCGCAAGGTCTACAGAAGTGTTTGAATACCCAACCTGAAAGAACCCGGAACTCATCCGAACACTTACTAGGACCAGTGATTCCGAACTTCTCATACACCTTCTGGTACGGGCCAGACGCACCCCAGCCGAAAAGACCAAATTGCTACAGACATCTATGAGTACACATGCGACTTGTGAGCAGAGGAGACATTTCTTACCTCATGGCTGTACTTCTGCCAGCCGAATGTCTAGAAAGTCATGGTAAGTCATGATAATTTAGCCTCGCCATTGTGAAGAATGAATTTACCGAGAGAGCTTCGACGGATAGAATAGGCGCGCCGCTCCTGAGCACGCTCAGGCGATACTCCGCAGGCTGTGAGTCGAAGATGGACCAGCACGGAAGACTGACGACCCGCGTCTTGACGCCCTGCGCCTTCAGGAGAGAAGCGGCTTCTAGAGCAATACTGACTTCACTGCCGCAGCTGACAATAGTCAAGTCCTCGCTCTGTTCCTCATGTACAACATATCCCCCCTTGGCCGCGCGCTCAATCGAGGAGGCCTCAAGGTTCGGGAGGTTCTGACGCGAAAGCGACAAGATAGAAGGAGTTTCCCTGCGTGTCAGGGCGACGTAATATGCGGCAGAGGTTTCATTGCCGTCAGCTGGACGCCAGAAGTCGAGGTTTGGGGTCGCACGGAAATGCGCAGCAGTTTCTATAGGCTGATGGGTGGGTCCGTCCTCACCAAGACCAATAGAATCGTGGGTAGCTATGGAAGCGAATATTCAGTGAAGGCAAGAGGTGGCTGCCACAGAGTCATGACGCACCAACCCAGATGACCTGGTGTTTGCTCAATGCCGACAGCCTGACTGCACCTGCAGCATACGACACAAAGTTCTATGACACTCATCAGCCGCAAGTACCCACGCAGTCGTCGCTATGCGCCTACCATGAACGTCGCAACGAAAGGAGTAACACCGCCGTATGCGTGCATGCCGTTCGCGATAGCACCCATACCGTGCTCACGGACACCGAATCGAATGTACGTTCCCTTGTAGTTTCCGAGACCTGTACTCTCGGGCTGGAAGTCTACCATGGCCTTCGTCCTCGTCAAGTTACTGCCCGTGAGGTCAGCAGAACCGCCCATCAATTCCGGAAGAACTGGGGTGATAGCAGTGAGCACAATCTCTGACAGTTTGCGGGACGCCTGGGCCGCATCTGACGCAGTGTACGTTGGCAACGACTTCTCCCAACCATCAGGCAGTTTGCCGGCAATACGCCGAGTGAGTTCTGCATACTCTTTGGGATATTTCTGGCCGTAAGAGGCGAGAAGTGCATCCCACTTCTTCTCGAGCGCTGCGCCACGGATTGCAATCTCCCCGTAAACTTTGTAGGTCTCTGTTGGGACGTAAAATGACTGATCAGCAGGGAGGCCGAATTTGGTCTTCAAGGCCTGGATGTCATCCGCCTTCAAAGCTACGGATGATTCAAGTTAAGTTCGGCTCAGGAGGTAGAGATGTAAAAATCACATACGAGCACCATGGACCCCGTGAGTGCCTTGCTGCTTGGAGCCGTAGCCTATCGTGGTTCTGAGGCGGATTAAGGTAGGCTTGTTCTTCACCTTTTGCGCTTCGACGATGGCATTGTAAATTCCCTCTAGGTCACTGTTGACATGTTTGATAAACTCTGCACATTATGAACGACCGACTCACTGGTCACCATCATCGACGTGGAGAACTTGCCAACCATAGGAAAGGAAGCGCTGTTCGACATTTTCAGTAAACGCAACAGCAGTGTCGCCATCGATAGAGATGTCTAAATCCCATCTTAGTGGTACTCATAGGAAAATAGCCATGATCTCACGGTTGTCATCATAGAACTATTCAAAGGTTGTGAGTAGAATACAATTTGTTAGGGAATTGTTGACTGACGTAAATTAAGTTTCCTAGCTGCAAGTGGCCAGCCAAACTGGCGGCTTCACTGGCAACACCCTCCATTAAACATCCATCACCCGTGAACACTGCCCTCAGGTCAGGCCCCACCTCTGTATCAATATGCACGCTACTCACCATATGTGTAGTTGTTGACCAGATCGAATCCATCCTTGTTAAAGGTTGCAGCCATATGGGCTTGGGCAATTCCCAAACCGACAGCATTTGCGAATCCTTGGCCAAGTGGTCCTGTAGTGACCTCAATGCCATCGGTATGTCCAGCCTCGGGGTGGCCAGGCGTTAAGGAGTTCAGCTGGCGGAACTGCTTAAGATCGTCCATAGACAACTTATACCCCATCAAATGGAGTAGGATGTATTGCAGCGCACAGCTATGATCATAGTGAGCTGTGCAGGTGCGTTACAATATAAAACGACGCACGCATGTCTGCATAAACAAAATCAGCAATCGACGACGAAACGCGACTTGTATCGGAAACCTACCCGTTCGATAGAACAAATCGATCGCGGTTGTACCACTTTGAGTTCTTGGGGTTCGCATTAAAAAAACTACCGAATGCAAGATCGGTACATGGAATACACTATAGGCAATGTAACCGTGCATACCGGGAGAACAGCACATGCGAAACGGGCGCCATTCCCATTGGAGCACCTATACGAGACGATCAGTACGCGGGGTAATCGACCGCCGGGGGGGCGCACGTACCGGGATGGCCAGAGTTCGCCTTGCCAACAACATCCGCGGCGAGCGCACGGATGGTCGCGATACAGATATCGTCTGTGGGTTGCTGGGTGAATTTGGACATGGGGATGGCAGTGAAGGGGAATGTGAGACGAATTTGACGCGAACGGCGCCGCGCCCGCGACGTACTTATAGCGCGACGGATCACGTGTGTCGGTCGGAATCGGACATCTCTGTCTTGGGAGTCTCGGTCAGGATATTTCTCATCCACGTCTCAATATTGTCGCTTCGTTCTCATCTCTCTTGGGTGTCTACGTCTGGTAGACGACGCCGGCGTTGCTGACAGGGCGTCGTATCAACCAAGTAGCGAAATGCACCCACAACTTTCTCAGGCTGACAAACGCATTGGTGCGTATCGCGGAGCTTTCATGCGGTACCAAATGGCATGCGTGGCTTTTTGTTGATGCCGTTCTCTGTGCAGTTTGCAAAGAGTTCATCCAGGCACTAGAGAATTGTCACGGCGACAGCTGGGCAAAGTGGACGGGTGGGTGCAACCAAATTAAACTCGATCTGAATATGTGTCTCAGGAAGGAGGTGAGCTCAAGGTATGGCTAGTCTGTCCTGCCTCATATTTTGAATGTTATGGATGTAGCGTGTCGAGCGCACTTCCAAGAACCGAGAGGGCGCCAAAGTACGGCGGCAGAAGACCGAGCAAGTCTGGAAAGAGCTTCACGACGAGGAATAATGCCAAATCTCCCTTCGTACCCAGATCCTCACTTGCCTTTGGTCACTGTGATTGGTCGCATGCCTTTGGTTTCGCAATTGTGGGATTGTGGCGTTCGTTCTTTCGACGAATGAACTCTACGGTTGAGCGAGCTTGATGAGATACGAACGGAATTCATCGTTCAACTAAGATGGCCTATATTACATTGGTCTGATAGTGATCTGCCTGTATATCCCATTTGCTGGTGGGATCTTCTGTGTAGAATCTTCCATTCATTGGAAGATTATCAGGCACTCTTCAGATACTTCCCAGCAATTAGCTCTATGTATTTGACCTCTTACATCTTCCTAAGTAGCCTGTAAATGGATTAGAACAATAGGCTTTACTCCAATTCCTCCATCAATATGAGCGATCCGGCATAGTTTCATGCACAAATAGTACAGTTTGAAGCTCTGGGAGACACGATAGCTACGTACGAATACAGGGCTTTCAGCAGCCAAATACATTCAGAATTGATCAGATCATAATTTGAGAGCGACTTCCATTTGACCATCGGAAATATCTGCCTTCACTTCTTGTCCGCCAGTGTACGCCCTGACAGTTGCTAGACCAAGGTTACCGGCAGCTACGCTCACAACTATCTCACTTCCTCTCCTCTCAGCACGCACCGTCCCGGCAATAGTGGCCCCATTTCCAGCTGGTACATCGGACTGAACTGTCTGTCCGTCTGCTAACTCGTAAACCTGCACCTCCAGCCCACGTGCATAGTCATAGTCTGGCCGACCTACTCCTCTTGGTCCCAGGCACAGCACCGTTCCTGGCCGCACCCAGACTGGAATTTCGTTCAGCGGGACAGCCTCCCGGACCCATGTCGGACCATCCACTGTGCGATTCGGATGGAAAAATGATGTCCAGCGTCCTGCGGGGATATAATACTCTGTATCCTCGCCTTGCGGGACGAATACGGGAGCGACCAGTAATGATGGGCCGAGCATGTACTGTCGGTCTAGGTAGTGGGTGGTTCGATCGGCCATGAACTCTAGGAACATGGCACGTTGGAGAGGATGGCCCCTGATCCGCGCTTGGATGGCCTAGATATTTGTAAGTACTTCAGTCCGTACTCAACTCTATGTTGTAGTAAGACTCACCAGATTATACAAGTATGGCATAAGCCTACTCTTTGCATCAAGGAAGTGGGCCATATAAACCGCTGCTTCTTCTCCGTAGTGCCAAGGAACGCGGTAAGACATGGAGCCGTGCAGGCGGGAGTGAGATGAGAAGAGACCATACGCAACCCAGCGATGGTAGATTTCCGGCGGTGGGTGGCCCTACGTATGGATCATATTCAGCTTCAGGACATGACGCAGTTGATGCTCGAATCATACCTCAAATCCTCCTATATCATGCGACGTGAAGGCAAATCCAGAGGCAGTCAGACTCAGACCTCCTCGCAACGTTTCGGCCATGGCTTCAAAGGTAGATTCGCAATCGCCTCCCCAATGCTACAGACGAGGAGGCTGAACACCATATAGCTGATTTTTTGTCTATGTCCACTTACCACTGGGAATCTATAGTTCGACAGTTCAGTGGAAGTCATCTCGATGGAGAGACCCGAATGTACCTCTGCCCACCAGCTGTTGCAGATCGCGCAAAAACAACCGCTTCACCGTTCCCAAAACGGCGCTCAAGCACCGAGAAAACCAGTTCATTATAAATAAGTGAATAAGCGTTGTGCATTCGCATGGCATCAGAACCGTCGTGGAAGACTACTGAAGCGTGAGGAATACGCTCTCCGAAGTCCGTCTGTGTAAAAATACGCATGGAAAATTCATATGTATTCAGTATTGGCGTGCTTGTGATTCAAGAGAAACAGAAAAACCTTGAATGTGTCCACCCCTAGGTCAATAAGAGCATCAAGCTTATCCTCGTACCATTTCCGCGCTGCTGGATTCGTGATATCGACAACACCTAGACCGGGCTGCCAGAGGTCCCATCTTCAACATCGTTGTATCAGCTCAAAAAATGATGGGATCTGGAGAAACATACTGCCAGGGTGTTCCATCTTTCCTTTTGATAAGATACCCTCCCTTTACTGCCTCCTGGAAGATTGGAGAAAGTTGAGAAATGTAGGGATTGACTGTGATCACTGAGGTAAGCCAAAGATAGCTGGGATCGTCGACAACTCACTCCAGACGCAGATTTTGACGCTGTATTTGCGTTTTATCTCTTCCAAGTACGCCCTCGGGTTGGGGAAACTGTCCGGGTCGAAGGTAAACGAACACCTTGGGCGAACGAATAAGTAAACCGACTATTGTGTGTGCGCTATTGCTGCGACCCACCACTCATACTGTTTCATCCAAAAGCAATCTAAATGAAACACGCGTACGGGGCAGCTTCGTTCTTGCATACCCTGCAGGAAACTAGACACGGTCTTCTCATCATACGAAGTCAGGAAGGATGTAGACAGCCAAAGTCCGAATGTCCATGTTGGCAGCAACCTACTCCAAAACGGTGTCTGATGATGCTGACATGAAGTTCAATGGGGCTCACGCTGGGCGACCCGTCATACGAGTATACCGATCGAGAATCTGGCGCCGGAATGTGGAATGGAATCAACCGCGGGGTTGCATGAAAGCTCGAAACACACCTCTAGTGGAGTAGCGCCGTATATGACGAAATATTCCAGACTTTCACCAGCTACACTCACGCCGACTCTACTGACCTTCTCACTACCTACTTCAACTTCCACCTCACCAGGATGATTTATGAAAACACCGTAACCCCGATTGGTGATGTAGAAAGGAACACATTTATACGCCTGCTCACTCGAGGTACCTCCATCTTGATTCCAGATACTCACAGACTGACCTGAAGTTCACGAATGCACCCAGGCAATTTACATAAGGGAAAAGAGAACTTACCATTCTTCACGAATGCGCCAAACTGCTCCCCCAGCCCATATACGAGCTCACCGGGAGAAAGATTCAGCTCGGAGTGTACATAGCGCACCGTGTCGGGCGTCGGCTCTGGTCGAGGGTTTGAGCTTAAGTCTGTAGCAAGGCAAGAGCTGTTCGCGGCACTTCGTATGGTCCATTTGTATGGGACATCATATACTGCCTGATGCTTGAATCCCGCGGAAGTAAGCGTCCGCGAGGGTGATCGGAACGTGACAGTGTACGGATTCTGCGTAATGTCAGCCGTTAAGTCGCCTGCTGTCAGCGACCAAGAATCTGTGCCCTGGGTGAGTGCTGCGGACGGAATTGGGGGGTCGTCTGGGAAGAGGGGAAAGTTGGGGGTCGGGTCGATATGCCTGAAGTGATCAATCTTTACTCCAATAATTCCGTCGGTGGGTGAGTGCACTCGGATGCTCAAGACGGGTCCTAAAAGTGAACATGGCGCTCAGAAGAGGGGGCAGACATACATATTTTAACTGTGCACACCAGCAAGCGTATCGCCGCGATGACGGATGAGTTTCGTTGAGACCTGTAAATCGTAGCCGTCGCCATTCGGAGTAGCCTGCACAACCTGGAGGCCAAAATGGCCCTTTACGCCGTTCTTGAGGAGCCAGAAACCGTCATTGAAGCGCATGGCTGCGGAATCCGAGGGTTACACGAACACAGTCCGAAGGTGATTTATTTATTCAAAGATGGCGGACCGCGGCAGCCGGATATCAAGGCCACATGAGCACTCTGGCTATTGATGAAGATGAAAAAAGGAACCGAAAGGTTCTGCATGAGGTGCAGACGGCGGCTGCCAGCGATGGTCGGAGCTGTGACATGAGCTTGTACCCGCGACGACGGAGTCGACGATCGCAAGTACTGCGTCGGAGCAACTTCGGCTACACAACCTGGACACACCCAATCACGTGGCGCGCGTTGCAGTGCAACATACAGCACCCACGTCCTATACATAGTCCAGCGTCGGTCCAGCAAGCCAAATTCTAAGCATCTCTCTCGGCCTCGATCTCAACGCGCGATAGTCAGGGTAAACGGGAGCAAACCCGCAAATTTCCGTTGCATGCCGAGTATTACTCATTCACAAATTACTAGGCAGGCGCCCACGATCAGTGATCTTAACTGAGTTGACTGCAGCTAGCCAGCTCCAGATATAAAGTCTCGAAGATCGAAGACGTCGGCAGTCTCGGGCATCCAGTCGACCCAGAGCGCGACTCGGGATCATTATCGTCAGAACGCCTTCCATAATCCACGAGAAATGTCCGTTATAGTAGCAGGCGCAGACACGCTGTGGAGGGAGACACCTTTGCTGTTCTCTCCACACATCTCCTCGCGGCTTGGATGCAATATATATCTCAAATTGGAGGTGAGCATGGGAACAGTGACGTGATACTGACGAGCTGACGCATTTGTCGCCCTCGCGCTGTGGACTGCGTTAGAATTTGCACCCTTCGCACTCTTTCAAGTTCCGCGGCATCTCGCACTTCATTCAGCACGCGATACGCACACACGGCCGTGGTGTACGCCTCGTTATTGCCTCCGGGGGAAACGCAGGCCTCGCAGCAGCTTGCGCTGCCAATACACTGAGTGTGCGATGCAAGGTGTTCCTTCCAGAAGGAGCGAGCAGCTCGGTGCTCGAATTCTTTGAGAAGGAATGCGCTGAGGTCGTGATAGAGGGAAAGTGCTACTTGCAGGCCTTGAAGAAGGCTGAGGAGATGGTCAAGACAGATCCCAACGCGTATGTGTTTCTCATACCAAGGACGATTCGCTGTTTCTGGATGTACCCGCGGCCGCACTGACCTTGTGCATACATTCTTCTGCAGCGTCATGGTACCTGCCTATGATGATCCTCTCCTGTGGGAGGGACATGGGTCAATGATTTCAGAGATTGTGCATCAGCTACCCAAAGGTACTAAGCCTGACGCTATATTCTGTAGCGTTGGCGGTGGTGGGCTGGCCGGAGGAGTGATGCATGGCTGTAAATCTGTCGGTTGGGATGATGGTCAGCTATTGACTCTTGTTTTCGTGTTCTATATACTCACCTGGTTCACGCAGTGCCGTTGATCACGCTGGAAACTCATGGATCCAATTGCTTCCATCAATCTCTCGCCCTAAATTCAACCATGCCTCCCGCGACGGATATGATCCCGAATGAAGCTGAGATCAAGCATATTGCTTCGCATGGGGTGAAAGTGGCCCATCTGCCAGTCCTCACGTCGCGTGCCTCGTCTCTGGGGGCATCCTCTCCTGCGCCAGGCGTAGTAAGAATGGCGCTGGATCGAGAAGGGGGAATCCGTAGTGTATGTGTATCGGATGAATTCGCAATGTTAGCAGCAGTACAGTTTTCAGGTGCGTCAACATCTCAATATACCCTTGCACAGGTTGCTCATGATTGAATATTCTAATTATGGCTGGGCACCAACCATTCGAAAAGAGGAGCACAAGATGATGGTCGAACTCGCATGCTCGACCACTTTGACTCCTGCATATTCACCAGCCCTATTTAATAAGCTGGTTTCACGCACCGCAACTGGAGAGCCAAAATCTGTCGTATTTATAGTTTGCGGCGGGTTCAAAATATCTCTGAAAGAGATAGAGGAATATCGAGACATCGCTGAAAGACAGCTGAAATCCGAGGGAGCATGGGACGTGGTGTGCGATGGTGAATGGTGGTCTATAGAGTACAAATGAGTGAAACGGACAGAGACCAGAGTATGCGAGAGGTTGTTCTAGAAATAGAATCGTCAGTATCCATCGGGAAAGATATAGTATGACTGACTGAACAGATCACGGCACAAGCATCTCTGGAAGCTTAAATCAGGTGTTCGTTTGCACTCGCAGCTGGGGCGTCTTCCCGCTGCTTCTCCAGTTTTCTCTCTGCTTTGCGTGCTCTGATTTTGGCTAATTCATCCTTGAGGGCACTCTTTTCGGTGGGCAAGTTCTAGTCCAATGCTGAATTATGACTTTTGAGCCTAGAAACTCTCGATTAACAGCGCACCGTTACTATGCGTTCATCCGAAGGAAATATTCTGTCCTTGTACTGAAACAGAGGAAGTTGTGTCAACCGGGCCGATGTTAGTTCTGCGCGCAGGAAGAAGAGGCGAAAGCAAAGAAAACATACCGAGACGACATGGCGGCCATACCAGTCGGGGTCTCCGAAATGCACCATCATGGCAATTGGAATGAAGAGATAGAAAGCAAACTTGAATACTTCCAGGTTCGGACCCCCCATAATGCACTGTGCGCACGACGTCGACCGTTGCACTGAGGAACGGCGCGAGGTCATTGTCTCACGTGCGCCGCGTTCGTTCATGCGGGCGCCATCAAGCGCCATTCGGACCCCGACTCATATCTCCATTATAGAGCTCAGATCCAAAAATCATCAGTTTTTAGCCTTTGTGTTCGCGCGATTTTGGTACTTCAAATGTTCGCGTTCGGATCTGGATGGTTTCGAATGACTCAATTTTCGTCCGCATAAGCGATCTATGGTCTCAAAAATCGCTAAAAATTGCGCAAAACTACGTGCGCACACAACACTGTATGAGTATCTAGAGCCAGGCTCTCACAAATGTTCTCGCAGTTCACTCTCATCTATTTTCATCCCATTCGATGCTGCACATTCGTTGCTCCATGGTGGAATAAAACTTACACTCTAGTCCTTGAATGCTGGAGTTCCCCTTTCTCCTCGAGAAGACGCATCAAATATCGATAAAATCTGCTGTGTGGAACGTCTTGCTTGGCAGGTCCCACAGCTCCTGATTATTTGCTTAGATACTAGTTATGTGAGCATCTTGCGGACAGCTACGTTGAGCTCTGTACCATAAAGACTCACCAATTTCCCTCTTGAGCGTGAACAATAGGATGCGGCGCTGACATGTTGGCATCGGTTTTGCTCTCCATTCGGGATGTGTCCTACAGCGTCAACGTCCAAGAGGAAATTCTCTGTACTCAAAGGTAACTGACAGAGGCAAATTCCATGACAAGATACTGGAACGAGCTCTGTCCGCGCACAGTGGACCATGCTCACAAGGCCAGTGACCTGTGTCTGCATTAGGATCTGAGCGCTAAGGCGATTTGCCAACCTAGGTCCTGCGCCATCCAAGCTCGCGCAGCAGCCAATGCTTCTCCTTCGATTCTCCTCATTTCAAATATACTCGACATCTGTCCCTAATGGCATGCGTACCGTCCGTCGTGTATATTGACCTTGCACATTCCAAACTCCTCGTTGATGCATAGTTTTAATCTGTTGTTTCCCCTGGCATTCACTGCGCCGACTGCAGTGACTGACCTCGGATTTATGGACTGCTATACAGGCTTCATAGGCCTTATGAGCGCGCGCTACATTGGCGATACAAGACTAGCATCGAAGCCTGGCCTAGTCCGACGTCAACCCCACTCCCCATTTCCAACTCCATGAAGTCCTGCTGGGTCCATCTGCCAATGTCAATTGAGTTTGGGAGTTTGACCGGTTTCTGCTTTCACCGGTTATGCCGAATGAAGACTTGTTGGCCAAAAGTGCCCAATTAGCCTGGACCCTTGCATTATCTCGTCTCGTAACCGGGCTCTAGTGCCGCTATTCTCCCGCTTTCCGCCACACCCAGCGTCCGCTGACTGTTTATGGACCTGCCTGTCGTAGTCGCTTTCCGCGGTAGGCTTTCCTTTCGCCATTTTGTCTCGTGGGCACGAGCGGAAGCCGGATCCCATACCGCTCCACACAGATTGGTATGCGCATGGTTGAGGTTCCAAGGCCTGTCGCCGATGTACTGTCCAACAACCTCGTTCGCTTCTGTTCAAGATCCTTGATTAGGCCTGGGATTATATCGGTGCCTTCTTGTTTCCGTTGCCTTGGCTGGTCAGTCGTCGCCAATGTCAATCCAATGCATGGAAGCCAGAGTGCCAACACATAGATAATTTCTCAAGGCCATGTGTATAAATGTGGCAGAGACCTTTGCAAAATTCCCCCAGCTTCGTCCATTCGTACTCCTCATCTTGACGATTCCTCTCCTGCAGTTCTGCCCTTTTCGATTGTCACCTTTGATCTCTCATAGCAATATCCAGAATGTGTGTTGGTGAAAATTGCGCTCCCCAGGCCGTTCATTATGTGAACGCGCAGCTTACCGCGCTCTATGAAAACGCTCTCGACTGCGTCAAAACTCACGACAACGCCGACAAGCCCGGCGAGCATTTCAGTACGTACTCTCTTACAATTGCTTGTCTTTGCATCGAATCTCATATGCATATACCGCAGAGTACTCCCATGCCCTAGCTGATTTTTCCTTCGTCGATCCATACATCAAAGGGCATCACACTATGTTTCAAGCTAATTTTGGGAAGCCTCGGCTTGAATTTATCTGTAACCACGACGCTGTCCTTCACCTTACCATCACAAAAGGATACTACCGTCTTGACTACAATAGATCTTCTACCATGGCTTATGCCGAAAAGTGGGAATGATTTTTCTCGGTTTACATGATCATCCTAACGCCTTATACAGGGATCGCTTGCAAATCCTCTCCGATGTGGAAGTTGCATTCCGCGTAGGGTTTTCCACACGCGAGCTACGCGGCAAGGACTCGAGTATCGGGAACGGTCAAAATCTCATCCAGCTGATCGTCCTCGATTTGCTCAGTAGGTCTTTTTCCTATATCGCTTTAAGGCATGAGTTAATTATCTTGTATTCAGAGGCACAGATGATCTCGGCAAAGCCTGCCATTATCATCGGCAGAGATGCATTCGTTCATTTTATGTCCCAGTATCTCAATTTCCTCCACCAGGCCGGGAATCACGTTCTCTTCTCGCTGCCAGATTTCGACGATGATCGTTACCGTCTGACCATCGACTACTCCCTCATGGGATCGCCAACCTTGGACGTCCAAGAAATTCATGGCATTAATGTCGAGAAGATCAACACGTATCTTTCGTCTGTCTGGCTCAAGTGTGCAATGGCTCTCGACAGCCCGGAAGATGTGACAGTGGACTGGAAGTCCACTATTCTCGCTGAGTATCGGAGTACCTGGTCGCTCCATGCTGATTCCGGCTTTCACTTCCATGTCCGCCTTGGGGCCCCTCGCGTGCAGCCTGTCTGCTCACGTGAGACTATCCTATATTTCACCATCGACGAGATATTGTTCTTCGAATCGGATGACCTCAGCGTGTGAGTGTGCTTTTTTCATATTACCCTTGATCATTATTCAACGGCTGTATCAGGGAAACGCAGTATCGCTATGGCGGCTGGGAAATTGCAATTCTAGTCGACATCGTACATGAGAAGAACTCGGACGGACATGTTACCAGCTGCAAACTCGATCTCACTAGTTTGTCGTCCCCAATAGGCTTACAAGGATTGTTTCTTACTCACACCATTTTGTTTTATCAGCGGCGCGTCCTTACCATCGCTTCTGTTCTTTTCCCAATATCGACAGCTCCAACGAATTGGAGCTGTCTTACTGCACTCGTATCCTCGAGTTTTTCACCTCAAGCTACCTCGATGTCTTGGAGAGCATAGACTTCCATGTCATTTATCACTTCGATGCTCGCTGGCAAAACTGGCACCTGTCCATTGAAAACGGGGACAGTATAGATGAAGGGCTGGATGAGGCCACCGAGGACTGGACGATCACCTCACAGAGTACTAACACCAAGGTCACGGCTTGGGTCGAGCGAATGACGCGATGCAACATGTTTGGATTCGACCAGGTCTCAGCCATCTCACAGTCGTCGATCAATGCTTTCTTTGCTTCCCTTTGGGCTATCGGCTCCTCGACGAAGGTGGTCGAACGCAGTGCTGCGTTGACCCACTGGCACTACGAGAAGTTCTTTTCCGCGTCGTTCAAGCCATTGACGGTTCGCCTGTTGAGCAATGGACGGGCGATCGTGTGGGTCCACATGAACCACGGACATATCAAGACGCTCAAGAATTGGAAGCCGTGGTCCGAGTTCGTGTTCTGGTATTTTTTCGATGACGTGGTACTGAGCAGTGATTACCGCAATGTAGGAGTGAAAATTACTCGTTCGAAGGTTGGCACCTTGCGTTCGAGGTGGAATTGAAGAAGTACGCCCATGCGGAGTTGGATGTCTCCAAGAGCTGGCTTGCAAAGTATGCAGAAACAGCTGTCTTCAAGGAGCACGGCGACTGTCAAGACCGTCACTTGGTCCATCTCGTTCTTGACTTTAAACGTACGTCTGTCTTCCAACCAGTTGAGATGTAGCGTGATTGGCTGATTGCTTCGCACGATCAGATGCCCAGTTTTTGCACGAGTTCTCGACGTTTGAGGGACTCTTCCAGATGGACGATCGTCGTCCCATCGACAAGGTGCAAGCCGCGGTTCACTATCTGAAGAGCCACTACCTACCGTACTTGGCACACTGGGGCTTGCACATCATCCACACCGTCCCTATCTGGACGTTTGGTTCCACCCTCCCTTCGTGCGCGCTGACAAGCGTCGCATTCCATGTCTACTCCAAGTTGACCATCACTCGTCAGAACTGGGCACATGTCTCCACCGCCCAGGAGCCTGTGATTGCCATCCTCGGCATGTCGAGCTTCCGCCCTCTTCCGTCCACGCAGCTCGAGTACTCCGCAGACTGGGTCGTCCGTGCTACCAAGGGCATTTCTTACGGCACCGTCTGTGTGTCCCGCGCAGCCTTCATGGAACAACGTCTGCTCCATCTCCTCGCACGTGTCAACGCGCTCACGACTGTCGTGCCCAAGTTCTCCGGCATTCACAACGGCGTCTGGAAGCTAGAACTGACGACCTGGGCAAAGCACGAATGGAAGTCTTCAGAGGACTGCAAGTGGGTCGCCGTACCCGCTGAGCATGATGGGTTCTCGAAATATGCCTGGCAACATCGTGACTGCTGGAAGTATGAGCACGAGGGCTCTGGCGATGTCGCGAATGGAACGTATGCCGTGTCTTGTAAGTGCACACCGTTTTGTTCTGATGTGCGTGACTAATATTCATTCTGGCAGGTCTCACGCGCAACTATGTGGAGCTTCCTAGGGGATCCCGGACCAAGTCTCTGGACATTAAGGTGTGGGGAGAAGTCGAGGTCGAGATGACATTTGCATCCGCCTTGCAGCGTGGAAGGTAAGACTTTGAACCGAATAGCCAGTAACAATACTCACCGAACGTGTAACCAGTGCGAAATCCTCTTCTACCTGGAACACTTCACTGTGTCTCCAGAACGATACCGACGGGCTCAAGTTGAGGGTCATCGGCTCTCCCAATCCCGTTATTAAAAAGACCACGTACACCGGCGACAGAGCATCAGAGATGTTCACTGATCTGGAGACCAGTCTGCGAGCCCAGCTTCCTGGTACTATCGACTTCCGAGAGGTTCGCCAGGAGCTCCAAGCCTTCGAAGGTGTATGGAAATATGGGTACGCCGGGATGCAGACTTACTGTCTCTCAAATCCTGTCTTCACTGCCCTCGGCGACATCATGTTTGAGCTTCGCCCTCACATCCAACAAGTGGTCGGCACTGCCAGTAGTGCCCAACGTCAAGTCAGCTCGGCTAGTTTGCGTGGTCCGAGTGCCAGCATCCGCTCGCGTTCGTCCTGTAAGTGTGCATACGTTCCACAGTTTTCGCTCCCTGCTGATGTCCGTATTTGTTGTAGTCTTCGGAAAAGTGAAGGAGGTGGTCAACTCTGCTCTATCGGATGGCCATGTGAACGGCGACAAAGGCGATGCGCACAAAGAGGCTCCCGTCAACGGCAATGGGACACACGGTGGAAAAGTGTACGCAGCCAATGCCATGACGCTTCCGGTAGGAGATGCAAAGGGCGGTGGGACTGGAGAACTTGAAGTAGACGAGTTGTCATTTCGGGTGTCTGAGGTTGTCGTGGCATAAGATGCTCTGCCTATTTTCGTGTTCCTGCTGTTGCTGTGATTGCGATTGCATTTAGGCCATATACATAGCTTACTCCTTGATACTGCTACATTGAACACCAGTTAAGATTACAGTCAAGTGAGGCCCTGCATATACTTGAAATATTCCAAAGCCCTCAATGTTTGACATGGGATGACTCACCTAGGTCGACAGTGAAAGGTCAAAAGAGCCGCAAGCCGCCTGTTCGAATGATGATTACATACAGGAAGCTAACCACGATTCCGAGTCATCGTCATCACCCGAAAATTACTTACAACCAAGCTCAAAGGTAGAACACACCCCTGGACTCCATACACCCAGCTAGTCATACGAGCAGGAGAAATCACCACGTACGAAGGAAAATTCGAATAAAACTTACAGAATTCTCCAACAAGGTAACATACATATATCTCATCCATCGAACTGCACTAACGTACATGCGCCAACTAATCGTTCTGCTCAGCGGATTTTTCACGACGTATCGACAACGCTCAGCACTGCTTAGCATACGTTCCACTCGACTTGCTACCGGACCCTTCGTCAAGTTTGCCATGATGGCCCTCGACAGTTTTGCGAGACCCAAGGATGTTCAAGGCGTGTGTCGGCGAGTCTTGCTTCGCTAGCTCCTCTGCAACTTCAATCTGTGCAAATAAAACTTGTTAGGACGGCCACGAATTCTACTCGAAAGACCACTCACAATATCGGCGACGAGCCGGTCGATCATGACTGCACCCAGGTTCTCGCGCACAACGACACGCAAAATGTCCATGTCTTCCAAAGCCGGAGCGAGCTCGTAGTTGGGGACAATCCAGCCCTTCGCACGTAGCAACGTCTGAACCCAGCGCTGCTGCACGTCCGGATTCTGTTCCCGATACTCGTCTGAGAAACGGAAAGCGACTACCGGCAAGCCTGGAACGTAGTTCTGTATATGGTGAAAATCAGTCAAACTCCAGGATGCAACCTCTACGATCGTACCTCTATATTGCCCTCGTCGAATCCAATTGTTTGCTTAGCGGCGGTCAAGGTGCTTTCCACAGGCCGGTGTATATCGCTGAGGACCTTGAACAGTCTACTCTTCTCAAGAGCGCGGCTCAACAACCGCGCGTTCTGCATATCGGCGAGCGCAACTGCACGATATCCCTCGAAACCGAGGTGTACAAAATTGAAGTACTGGGCAATAATCGGGTGTGCCGGCCGAGAAAAGTTCAAGGAAAACGAGTATTCGACTGAGCCCAAGTAGTGCAGCTCAAAAATGAGATCCTTCGGCAGATATTCCTTTGAACGCCAGACCACCCAGCCTACGCCGACATAAGATAAGCCGAATTTGTGTCCAGACGTGTTGATTGAGACGACGCGAGGGATGCGGAAGTCCCAGGTAAGCTTGGGTGTTGCGAAGGGTGCGACAAATCCTCCGGATGCAGCGTCAACATGGATGGGAACCGAGTGCCCTGTGCGCTGCTCGTACTCGTCTAGGAGTTCAGCCATCTCCTGCACAGGTTCATAATGACCGGTATAAGTGCCTGTCGAAGTGTGAGAACATGTACGTCTTCTAATTGTATGCAACACTCACTGCCGAGAATGACATACACGCCGATTGTATTTTCGTCGACGAACTCCATTGCCTTCTTTGGATCGAGACGGTAATGACTCTCCACGGATATGGGCACTAGGCGCATCTCAACATCGAAGTAGCGAGCAAATTTCTCCAGAGCGACCTGGGCATTGGCACCCATGATGATGTTTGGGCCAGGTTCATGAATCGATTTTCCCGCTTGCTTGCGTGCTTCTTGCCAACGACGCTTCATAGCGAGACCACCCAGCTGAATGGCCTCAGATGAACCGGTGGTCGCAGTGCCGATTGCATTTTGGGCGCGGGGGGCGTGCCAAAGGTCGGCAAGGATGGAAACACATCGAGTATGAATGACCTCTGTCACACATTCAAATTAACAGATGAGTCTCATGTCGTACCTAAGGAAACAGGGGCGCACGGGTCATAGGGTACTCATCCTGATCAATGAGGTTTTTGGATATGTTTTCAAGCATAAGTTGGTCTGCCTGCTTGGGCATCCACGTGTGCACAAAAGACGCGAGATTCAAGGTAGGGGTGCCATCGAGGGTGAGTTCGTCGTGGATGAGTTGATAAGTAGCCTCGGCATCAGTGCCCTGCGGGAGGAATAAGGAGCAAGCTAAGGACAACGAAAGTTCAGCCAACGAAGAAAAACAGACCTTGGAGGGGAGCTTGTATTTGGGAATGGGCTGGACGCCGTAACGCGCTCCATAGGGGTGAGTGGCCTCATGACCAGTGGAACTGTGAACGAATTTCTTATGCTTTTGATGATGATCCTATGGAAGATGGCAGGTGTCAGACGCGGAAGAAGCGAGAAAATCAAGTTATGTACCTGAGAGGCTTTAATGAGGCTGTCGGAATTGAGGTGCTATGGGGAGAATTAGAATAAGTCGCATCGGACTTGTGGGTGAAGGAGGGACAAACTTTGGAGAGAGACATGTTTTACGGCAGCGAGTGGGTAGAGACGAAAGAGGGGGATGGGAGGGAGTGACGATACGGAGGGACTTTATATGGCGTCGAGATGGAGGTCATTAGGAATTTGCAATGACATCATTGACAACAGGGACTGGTGAAATTGTAGCCAGTCTCACTGGACGAGGGGTCTGATGGCAAGGAAGCTTGGAGCATTCGGCTGGATACTTTCTGGCCATGTTTTCGCGTGCAGTGGTGTTTTGTGCCTTTCCATCGTCGGCCCAGCCGCAGTCGAGCCGCACCGAGCACGAAACGTCTGGTCACGTGCATGACACAGACCTTTTGCCCTCCAAGCCGCATTTGCCAATTGACGGACTGATGCTACCAACGTGTGAGACCTTGCGGTCGAATTTGCAGTGAAATACCACCCCACATCCACGTACAGCCCCGCTCGAACTATCCGACATCAGCCTCATGATCACCAGTGCCTCCTTTGACCTTAGTCTGCTCACCACAATCAACTCCGGGCCTTTCTCACCCTGGGGTCTGACACTATCATAGAGGGCCGCAGCTCCTCTACATGAGGCTTTCGCGCTCATACTTGATCAATATTTCAGTCCAGCCCGTTATAACGACATTGTGCTGTAATTAGCTCCCGGCAATACCATCCGAGGAGCCACCGACTGCAGTCGACGGACAGCCGCATCGTCATCATATTCTCCCTGCGCAGCCACCCCTGACGACGCTATCTGAACATTGCACCACCAACGAACCTTGAGACGCAATCTGGAAACCCAAAGGATTTGATCAACTAATTTCACGTAGATGTGGCACGCTGCGCTTTCAAATCCGATTCGTTCGCGCAATTGCATGCGAATGTCCCTCCAGGAACCTGTGAAGGGGGTTGGCTGACTAGCAGAGATGGCAATGACGCACACAATGAATGGACATTTGAATAATTGAGAAAGTGTACCACTAGCCTCGAATTAACACCCCTAGGCATAGATTCATTTGTCAAGCCCCCAGAGTGTAAGACAAGGGACATCATGCCATCGTACCTCCTTAACGTTACAAGACCGACCAGTCAAGCTTCAAGGCGCATTACGTTGGTCAAAGGGGCGGAGCGACTGAGCGCCCATAGGCGCTAGGACAAACACGACCACATTTACGCGACGCGGGACTCGGACTCGGCGCGTCTCGCTCGTTCTCTACATCGCGTTCTTGGTCCAGTCTTCTCACCTCTGTCCTTTCAGCACAGGCGATATGTCAGTAATAGATCCTTTGTAAGCTACTCGTCTCCTCTCCCATCAACTTGGGTCACGCTTACACCCGAAAGGCCTGTCCCAGATCCCCTACCATCGCGTGTACCGACAGCTGTTCTTGCCCCGTCGCCACACACGCCCTCTTTTGTGCTGGGGGCGGCAAACCGGTCCTACAAGCACCAATATGCGAGCATATACTTTGTACGCTTACAACTCCTTCGCAAGTTTGTTCTCGCACGCGCGCGACGGCGGTGGCGGGGCCTTTCAGGCAATCCTGTCTTCGTTCCGCGCGTGCTGGATGTCGAAAAGGGTAATCTCTGCTACATCATTGGTACCGTGTACCTCGATATGCCTCTAAAACCGAACGTCCTTGAGGATCTTGCTCGTGATGTGCGTCTTTTGTCCTCTTCGATTCTTGCGCACACTAACTGCATTCTCCTGATCCGGTATTCCGTACTCCTAGCACAGTCTGCCTGCTCCAGCGCCACGTCCAAAATATCACTCGGAAGATGACCAAGTTACACTGGAGGACGAATCTGGGCGAATTGTTCTCGTTGGTGCCCCTCTGCGCGCCGCGCAACTCGTAACCGGCGTTGTGCTAGGCGTGCTCGGTGCCGAGACCAATGGCGGTGAGTTTGAGGTCATCGACGTGTGCTACGCGGGGATGGCGCCGCAGCCGGATTCCGACGTTAGCTGGGAGCAAAGCGGTGCCACGGGTGCCGCAGACGCCATGGACGTGGATGGTGAGTGCCATCTGCCGTACAACCTACATGAGTGTCATATACTTGAGGACTGAGGTACATTAAATAGGTGCGCCCCGGCAAATACAAATCGAGGGGCAAGAGACAGATGAATGGATTGCGCTTGTGTCTGGCTTGGAGATTGGCGCGTCGTCTCCAGCGGATGCGCAAATTCAAATGATGGTTGAATACCTCGCGGGCGAAGCGGGCGGTCTATATGATCAAGTGACATCTGCGCGCATATCACGTTTGATAATCGCTGGAAACTCTCTAGCTCCCATCGTTAATACCAACACGAACGAAGAGGAGAGAGCTGAACGGAAAGCGGTGCGTTCTCAAGTTTCCATTCTGATCTATATGTGAGACTGACGTGATGGTGGATGCCGTATGGGATTATATTTATATTCTTCCAAATTCAGCGACGATACGGGCACGACACAGCGAATTTCTCACCACAACCGTCTCTGATACTGTCCGAATACCTCCATGATATTGCACGCGCGATGCCTGTGCACATTCTCCCAGGTGCATCAGATCCAGCCGGCACACTCCTTCCACAACAGCCTTTCCCTCGTGCCATGTTCCGTGGCGCATCAGCCTTTTCATCTTTTTCCTGCGAGACAAATCCCACTTATATTCACCTTGGGCCTTCCGCGTTTGATGCACTACAGGAGACATCCCCGCAGAACACGAAAGGCAAAAAGGCCTCTACATCCGCGTTCGCGTCTGGGGTCCCCTCGGCCAGCGGTAGCTGCACTCCCTCACGCACGCTACTCGTCTCGTCCGGGCAACCAGTTGATGATATGTTCAAGTACCTTTCTTCGCCACCTGCGACGCGCCTCTCAATCGCCACGTCTACTCTCCGCTGGCGGCACCTCGCGCCGACTGCGCCAGACACGCTGTGGTGTCACCCATACTTCGGTGCGGACCCATTCGCTATTCGCGAGACGCCGGACGTGTACGTCGTCGGAAATCAGCCTGGGTTCGGGACGCGAGTCGTCACGGAGCGTGGATGGGGGACTGATTCAGATGCTGTCTCAGATGAAGTAGAGGAAGAGGGGCTGGAGGGCGAGGGGAGGGACAAACGATGTCGTGTGGTGCTCGTCCCTGGCTTCAGGGAGACGGGTATACTGGTTCTTTTAAATATGCGGACGTTGGCAGTGCGGACAGTGCAGTTTGCGGTGGAAGGTATGAGTGCTGGCGGCAGTGAGACGTGAGATGGAGATTACCGGTATGTTTGTTTTATTTTGCCGTGAGCTTGGCTCAAAAAATTAGGCTGTACTGATCTGCACAGTACCCTTCACTTATTGCACCCTATTTTGCAAAACCTTCAGACGATGTCCAATCTGCGTTGCATTGGCACTGATCATACGAATCAAACGTTATAATATCCTTTTGGCTGGTTGGCTTTGTCATTCATATACCAACGACTTATACGATCAATCGAAGCTCGCACAAGATGGCGTCTTTCACATTGTTATGTGAGCGGTTGTCACTGATTTGTTTATAAATATTAGGGATGATATCTGGACTATACAGTCCGTGGTGATCAACCATACAGTGAATCTGCACGGAAGCGGTTTATGCTTTGCAACTGCGGTGCTCCCGGCGGTGAAATCTCGCCCTGCAGGAACTCCATGGACTCCGGATCAGAAAGTGGAGGCGTGGGCGGTACAATATCGATTGTATAATCATGCGCGCTCAACAAAGACTGCGTGTCCATCTCCCTCGTTACGAATGGAGGCACAGATTGGTCGCACGTTTGCTGTGCATTTATGCCTGTTGTCGGCACGTCGACCGTGTCAAGGCCCGGAGGACATATTGAATATACGGGCACCTGATTGGAACTGGAGTTGCGCCGTCTGAGACCATTGTAGTCGGAAGATGCCACTATTTCTGCTGTTGTGGTGGCCGGGCGGTCGGCATCGATAGGTGTGTGGAACTCGACGGGCAACCCGAGCCCGAGCCCCACGTTCGACAGTGGGTCGTCTTCGAGGAGGACGGTGGTAAGTGGAGGGCTACAGGAATCTTCGCTGAGCGATACGCAAGTGCTGTGGCGACCAGGCCAGAATCCGCGCCGTGGGGACGGGCCTTCGGAGACAGACAGTTGGAGGTATACTATCGCTGGTGGGCCGTCTGTGCTTGACGAACGTCGCTGAGTTGATAGCGCTGGCAGGGATTGGGCCGGCCTGACGAGCCTCGAAGCCAAGGAGAGTGCCCGGTTGCGGTAGGATCGTGTGCTGCTATCGTGTGCGCCTACCGAACATGCGATGGATTCTGCTGGGCCGGCATGAGCAGGGATGTATGCTCCTGGAGCGGAGTGTCTGCGTTCCTCTGGACCAGCCAGAGTGTGGGCAGCTGAGGATGAGAAAGAGGCGCGCATTAAGGTGTGAAGATGTGAGTGAGGCTGAATGCGTAGAACAAAGAGGAGTTACTGAAGACTTCAGCTCGAGTTCTAGCGAGTATATATGCGCCCCTTGCTGGGCCGCCGTGTACTGGATCGGTTGGGCCGACCAGCATCCGTCTACGGATAACGGCTGCAAGGATGACCATGTCTCCGTATTCCGCCTCGGCTCTGATCGAGGTGCCCTCTGAAATGCGATCACGTGTGGTGCAAGAGCTGTTTCGCTCTTGACTGTTGCGCTACTTGTTGCAATATTCACCGCAGAACATTATGTTGATAAACCAAAAATGCTCTCCCTGACTTAAAATGTATTCGTCAGAGCGAGACGCTTTGATACAGGGAGGTCACGATATATCTACTACTACGTTGTGGCATCGAAAGCTATCATAATTCGGAGGAATGAATCTCGCTCCAAGCACTGGAAATGCATACCCTCCCTGATTACAGACATTGTATTCCGGCAGTCGGACTGATGAAATCCATAGATGAGCCTCCGTGAAGGGGACTCAGGTCCGTCGTCCGAATCGTATGAGATTTTGCCATCTCGATGTTCAAAAGTTGAGCGCGGAAATTGGGAAGGAAGGATGAGAGTATATTTTTCAGTTCTTATTTGACTCCACGGAATGTTGAGAATCGAGTACAAGAAAGACAGAGAAAGAAGAAAAGATGAGAGATTGATCCAATGAATTATGAGACTTACTAACAAGTTGATTATACCGAGTGGCTGGAGGATCTCAGATCAGTATCGAGGGTTCCCGATCAGGCCTCCGACGAGCGCTTATAGCGACTTGCTCATCTCGCTACGACCGCCATCCTGTTCATGCGATAGCTCCCTGCTGGACAGGCCTCACCTAGACGGAACTGGCTTTATACCTCACGCTATCCATATGTTCTCCAATCTCTCCCAGAAGATCGCCGTCCCCTTCAACCTGCTCGGCGATGAGGCCAAGCTCGCGTTCCGCAGTCAACCCACTGGCATAGCCAAGTTAGCCACGCAGCGCGTATGTGATTGCGCGCAGAATCAGAATCTTGGTAGTCTGGCTTATGAGCTCCCGTAGAATATTTCTGAGACAGATTCATACTGGGATCAAGTGAGTCGTTGTCAGGCAGCGAATGTCATATTGTGCATTAACCATAGGTAACCGAAGTTTGTTACGCTCTTTGATTCGGCTTCCGACGTGTTCACGTTGATCTCGCATAATGACGGTAAGAGTTAGTCTTTAAGACGCTGTACGAGTGTAACACTCTTGCCAGTCCGCCGCGCACTCTACGAAGCACCTGAGAACGTAGCCACACTCGTCCGCGTCATCACCTCTCGCCTATTCAACCTCGTCTCCGATCATACATTCCCTACCACACCTAATGCCTCTGTTACATCGTTTGCCACGTCGTTCGTCAAGGCCTCTGCCTCGCGAAATACCACAAAAGAAGTCTTGAACTGCGTTCGTGTTCTGGAACGCGTCCTCCCAGCTGTATTCGAGCTGGAAAGTGACACAAGCCGATTCGAGTTGGAAGTGCTATGGAAGAAAGTTGAGGTTGAGGATGAAGGCGTCGTGGATGGGGACGATGCAGCGACGCAATTTGTTATTGACGACGAGGACGATGAAGAGAACCCACAGGCAGGGTCATCGAGACCTGCAGCGAGCCCAAACACCATAGTGAGGCGCAGTCTACCTTCTGTCGCTGAGAAGCTCTTCAGCTGCCTCATTGACCTTCTCTTCTGCTGTGGTTTTACGCTTCCCGCCAAGCTGCAGGTCGATCACTATAAGATCAACTATGTTATTTGGTATGCCCTTCTGCAACTCCCGAGATGCTCCTCCTAACACTTTTATTCAGGGAGAAAGGCATTGGTTCTACTGTTGATCTAGGCTCCTCCCAGGCGTTTGAAAGCAACAGAACTGAAGTACTTCGACTACTCCTGGTGCTGTTATCTAAGCAGATCTACACTCCTCCTTCGGCATTGTTTACTTCGCCCTCATTGTACACTCTCCACTTTGTTCAGCGGACACCCCGGCGACATGTCCTCACGATCCTCTGCTCGCTCTTGAACACCATCATGAACACCGCTCATGGAGACAATCTCAATATTGTTGGTGCAATGACGGGCAAACTTCCGTACAATCATCTGGTCTTCAAAGGCGAGGACTCCAGAATCATTCTTGTCTCGACCTGTTTACAGGTCCTCTGTGTGCTACTCGATTTCCAGAGCGGCACTGCCAGAGACGGGATCGTCAGTGATGAGGGCACTCAATCCGCTCCCACGGCGCGAACGAATGCATTCCGTTATTTTGTTGCCAAGCTAGTAAGTATCCATTGCTCCAGACCGACATCCCAATCAGTGGAGCTTATATGCTATGCTACTCAGCATCGCCAAAATGATTTCGCTTTCATCTTGAATGGCGCTGTCAACATATTTAAAGAACACATGCTTTCGGTGGACAATGTGCTGCCTGGGTCACGGAAATCTGTTCCGTACGTCGTCGAGACTAGTAAGTATCTGAACACAATTATCACTCGTCAACATCATCTAACTATGTGCAGTCTTATTATTCTGGAAGATGATCGATCTCAACAAGGTTCGTTCACACTGGCGACGGCTTTCACCTCGATTATATCTCATTGCCATTGCGATGTCATTTCAGAAATTCCGCTTTTACGTCCTGGACTCTGATCAAGCTACGGATATTCTCGCACATTTACTATGTTATGGTATACACGTTAAGGACAAGCCTCGTGAGTTCTGGTGTTCGTGTGAGTTAACGCCATGGTATAATTTTATATACACAGAACAACATGGTCTTTGTCGAGCCATCTCGTACACTATACAAAGCATGTCTGCGGAGCGCGCTTTTGGTCTCAAGCTCAACCAGCCCATAAAGACTCGGGTTCCGCAGAAATGGAGTAACCTAGGCACAGCGGGTGACTTCATGGTTCATGTGCGCATCGCGCGCTATGCTCAGTGAATGCTTGCTCATTGTTGTGCAGGCTATATATGCCATGGTTGCAACTACATCTGGTGCTCTTACGTCGCTGTATCCAGCACTTGTCATTGCCTTGTCGAACGTGTCGCCTTATCTGAAAAATCTGAATATCACCACGTCGACGCGCCTAGTACAGCTCTTTACAGCATTCTCAAATCCTTCTTTCCTTCTATCGGACGAGGGCCATCCCAGGCTACTCTTCTTCATGCAAGTAGTCTTATACTTCCTCTAGCCTCTCACGCTAATCCATCTTCCAGGCTGGAGACATTCAACTCCGTGTTATTGCGTAATCTTGCTGACAATCCAAATTTGGTGTATGGTATTCTCCATGCACATAAAACGTTTGAGGATCTGGGTACCTTCACTCTCCCTCGAGGCTTGCGAGAGATTCGTAGAATACAACAAGCGAAAGAAGAGCGCGCCAGAGCCGGCGACGGCGCCGTCGACAAGGGCAAACATAAGGACCTCGAGAGCGCCGGTGAACAGCCTCAAGATGAGAAAGCCCGGCTCCTGCGTAGTGAGAGCCAGAGCAATGGTGACTTGCCCAGTCAGTCAGAGTTGACGGAAGAAGATTCTGAGCATATCAATTCGCACTCAAACTCGGAAGAGGAACCGCCACTGACGCGCCCGCTGATGTCGCCTACGATACCAGACCCACCGCATATTGCGCGAAGGTTCGCTGAGCCCTCATCCGAGAAGGCAAGGGGGAAAATGCGGGCGGGAAGGTCAATGTCTGTGGAGATGACGGGAAGTTTGGAAAGCTTAGCAGCTACTGCTGTTGGCAGAAATGGGTTTGTACCAACACAAGAATGGGTACGTCTTTCGCAAGTACGAGCGGTATCATCTGATGATATCTCCTTGCAGGTCACATCCTGGCAGCAAGGGTCAGTAAATATATACTTTCCGTATGAAAGTGTAGATCTTAATGTCGCTTGTATCTTCTAGACTTCCGTTGGATACCGTCATGCTCGTCATCTCAGAGTTGCTACCCAAGATCCAAGAACTACAAGCGTCACTTAACCCAACCAACACCAATGCTGCTGTTGTAGACTTAATCCGCAGCGCAAACTTAGAACACGTCCTTCCCACTCCGCCGGCAATCACTGCTCGACGTTTCATGGTACGTATATCCTTTTTCCCCTCCTATTGTCGTGCTGACTTGATCGAGCAGTGGTCGGACGCGTCCATTGTGTGGCTGACGTCGCTCATTTGGGGTGAAATATATGTCCGCGGTATGACGCCGCTGGGCATTTGGAACTCGACAAATGTTCGGCTGTTCTATGTGAAGCACACGGAGACGAGACCGCGACAAATTAGCGAGGCAGTAACAAATGTGGTGGGGGGGCTGCTTGGGAGATCAGAATCCACACAATCTAATAGGCAGCGTCCATCGTCGTGAGGAACCGGACTCCGATGAACTATGTAATGTATTTAATTAGGATGTATTGTGTAGACCTCCTTCCACTGTGACACGGTGTGGAACGATTGCGATCGGCCACAGGCTTGCCTCTTGCCACCGAGCGCCTACTGCCCATTTGACTTGCGAACAGTGGACGAACTTGGGAATATTAACGTAATGCCATCGTCTGCGATCCCCTCAAGGCATTTTCTGGCATTAGACTGTGATACAGACGACAAAAAAAGTCTGTTGCATAAATGGAGTTCGCAAGTGTGTCGTCCGTCTCCGCACTGTCGGACATCCAGCAAACCTGGTGCAGGCGAGGTGCGTTCATATAACCATTCCTCACCTTCATCTACTTACTGCGCATCCGCAGGGGGCGTTCAGACAATCGCAGACATACTACTGATATCTTCCAGTGACCTTGCTAATAAATGCAGGATCTTGAAAGGCCAAGCGGAAGCTCTACAGGTCGATGTTAGTCAAGCTCTAGTCAAGCAGCCATGTTTGCTCGAGGATGCGGACCTGGAAGACGAGATGTTTACGACGGGAGATTCTTGTCTCGATGAAGTCCTCGATGGTGGTATTAGGACAGGTATGTTGTGGGAGATTGTAGGTGAAAGGTACGTTTTCCTATCGAACACATCTCCTTACCAGGCTCATGTGAGCAGCGCCGCCGGGAAGACTCAGCTGGCCCTCCAGCTGTCTCTATCCGTACAAATCCCCCATACGTTAGGTGGTCTGTCCGGCACTGCGTGCTATTTGACCACTAGCACCGCGCTTCCCACTTCGCGTCTTACAGAAATCATGGAACGACATCCTCTTCTCTCACGAGAGAACTGCAGCTTGTCCGCCATCCACACCATCAAAACCCCCGAGATTCCCATCCTGCTCCATGTTCTCTCCACGAGATTACCCAACCTAGTAGATAGTCTCGCTAAGGAACAAAATCCGAACCCGGTCAAATTGCTCGTCATAGATGCTCTTGCAGAGCTCTTTCATATGCATGACAAAACGACCGCAGATGTCCTAGGTCAACGGTCAAAACATCTTGCTGAGATCTCTACACTGCTTCATACTCTCGCCAGCAAATACCGTATCGCTGTGCTCGTGCTCAATGAGGTCCAGGACGTCTTCAGTAATTTTTCCTATTCCCCGGAAGAAAATAGTTCTGAAGACCTTGCCTATCATGACCAAGTCAGATGGTTTGGTCGCGCAGATGGTGTTCCAGGCGAAGATAGAAAAGAGGCCAGCCTCGGACTTGTCTGGGCCAACCAAGTGAACACCAGGATTATGCTAAGCCGTACCACCAGAGAACGAGTCTTAGATGTTACAGAGAAGAGGAGGACGAAGCGGCGACGTTTAGACGGCTCTCAGAGCCATACGAGCACGATGCCACAAACTACGCGATTACGCTGTTTGAGCATCATTTTCAGCTCCATTGTTCCTCCAACTTCGGTGGACTATATAGTCACTGCAGAAGGCATTGCCGCCTTACCCGGCACAGTAGATTCTAATTCTTCGCCGCCCCTTCTTCCACCGCCGCTACCGGTGTCGCAACTGAGCGCTCCCCTGTCTGATAAATGTCCCCCGTCAGCCTCCTCTGGTCAAAATATTGACAGTGGTTTATTACTCGATGTCAGTTCCCAGAGGACAGTTGGTGCAGGCGACTACCGTTCGGATCCGGACATTATGACATCAAGGGAAGAGGCGGAGAATGGTCCCCAGCTTGAAGTCAATTATGAGTCGGAAGACTACTGGCAGGGTGATTCAGAGGAAGAATTTTATAACGACGTTGACATTGAGCCCGCCATTTCGAGTTCCAGTTTCTCGTGAATTTATACCCATGTCAGTGATACCCACTGTACTGTCTTGCATCAATTATGCTCGGATCTCATCACACCTATCCAATAATATTTTCATGTTCGATATTCCTGATCGTACATATAGACACAAGTACGTCGACGGGGAGCTTAGATAAACAGCGGACACCACCAATGTCGTGGAAGTTTAAGTTTCAAAGTCAAGCAAAATCACCAGGCCAGTGGTTGTAAGTTGTCTTGATTTGCCCCGGGTAGCGTTCGGCCCAAGCGGTATGAACAGGCTGAGGGGGTTGTACGTATTGATTATTGCCGTAGCCCAGGGCAGCTTCGTCTCGACCTTGTGAAAGCTCGATGACCTTCAAGGGTTTCATGTCCTTATGGAATACGACCTTGTGCCGAGGATTGGCGCCAGTGTATGAGCCATCAGGCAGAGCATTGACCGGCATAACCAAAAGACCATTCACGAATGTGAGCATAGCAAGCATGCTAGCTGAGTATTGCAAAGGCGTCAGATATGATATACAATCATTGTTAAAATTATCTTACTCAACAAGAAGGCCAGCCACGACAATGCGAGTAAAGAGATCCCGGTCGTGTAAGAATCTGATTCGGCAGAAAAGTCTTGGATAAGGCCGGGACTACGGGCGGCATCCACAGTGACAACGATCGCTGCAGCTGGAAACTCTATTGGTTGGGATCACGAAACCTGCACATTCTGACAATTACCTGAGATGCAAGCCCAGACAATCCCGATGATTATCAACCTCCTCTTGTAACTGGGTGGTGTCTTGTGACGGTACAGGAAATAGATCTCCCTGCTCAAGGGTCAGACAATAGCAAAAATATACGCGAGAGACTGGACAAACTCTGCAAGAAGTGTGATCGCTGCGATGATATACATGACGGTGCACACGACCTCAGTGGCTGTGAACTATGAGTCCGACACAAACATCTACCGTGCCGCGGGAAACACTTGCCTCTCCCCGAGTGCATCGCCAGCGATGAGATGCATAACCACAGTAGCAATGCCTGGAACGTAAGTAAGACAACTACAAAACAACGGTGTTCATTTTGACTGTCAGCATACAGAACTTCAGACGTACCGGAAATGCAGAAACAAGACGCGGACAAAATGAGAGACGGGGTGATGGTCATTTTCTGTCGCAGACAGAAGCGGAGATGGCTCGATGCAAAATTGGTGATTTGGTGCGGACGGCGTCCGTGATGGAGGATCGTCTATGCACAAAGGACCACTGGGAGGGAAGGGTAATAGCGAGACGGCAGCAATTTATACTACAGCCCGAACTACTCGCGGGGCCACAGATGGACAAAGCATATCCTCGTGGCTTGAGCCAGGAGGTGCTTTGCCGACTCACAACGACATTGGTAAGCTCGAACTTGGGCCGCCGACTCCACGTCACAGGCCACCACAGACCAACTTACAAGTCTGCAACAAGGAGATCAGACCCTCACAAATTGGGTCGTGATTCAAGCATACAGACGCACCTCAGGCTGTGCTTGTCAGAGATACATGACGTCGGGCTGCGCTACCACAGCAGGAATAGCCTAAAGAGTTTGTAGTCGCACTTGATGGCGATTGGTAGCCGTCCCACTGGGAATACTGTGCAACGGATGTGACCATTGCAGTCTGGGATAACACAAGCATACTGGGCGATTCCTTCAACACCTCTTGTCCAGTAGGGCTAATATCAAGTCATCGACTGAGAAGAAAGTCACCGGAAGGAGTCATCGGACAGACACGAGATGCGCACTGCGCACGCTGCCACCGCATGTTTTAAAGCAGGGTTCTTCAGGTTGATAATCCTGAACTGTAGTGCACGTTGTGTACGGTCAGAGCGTAGCCAGTCAGATACGGATATCCGTAGTCTGCGAGGGTTGAAACAGCGTATCTAGTCTGCCTTTGAGAAGCTGTTAGGTAGTCGCGGTCCGCATGTCTGAACATGTATTACGAATGTACTTACAGATGCTTGCGGATCCAGCCCACCTGTGCTCGAGCGCTCTCTAGATACATTTAGCAAGCTAGTGACAGTATGTACGCACAGCGGAGAAAATTCACATGGTGAGTAATGATGTGATTGCTTATTGCGACGTTTCTCGACCCCAGGGCCACGCGAGGCATAATCGTGTTCATGATACATCCATAACTGTATTCTGCGATGAAGATGAGGAATAGTATAAATACAATCGGGCTTGTCTCAAAAAAGAGTATATGTAATTAGCCGGTGAGATGCAGGCCACGATGCAATGGTAGTTGAGCAGAGAAGGGTGGAAAAACAGCGATTGCAACGTCATGAGTTAGGAGGTCGAGGAGAATATCATCACGCGTCAGATGGTCCTCAATAAGGCCTAATCGCAAGACATCCGCCATACAGGGAGCCAGCCTAACGCCTTAGCATCGCGTCAAAATAAACAATGCAGCGGTGCCGCGTAGCTCCTTCACCGCGAGCCGAAGGTATTCTCCCCAGAGTAGCTGACGTACAAGAAACCGTCCTCATCTCTGTGTAATGAGAATGTGTCAGCTATTCAAGTATGCTAATCCAATAACGGTGACGCACTTATGCTCTTCATAGATTGCACTCATCAATGCCGCCGTTGGTGGCAATACCTCATCGACAAAGATGAAGATCGCCTTCTCTGGCGCCAGCTTGATACGCTTCCGAATTACATACACGAATTGACCGACCGTAAGGTCCTACATGACGACAAGATGAACTGATTGTTCGGGTTGTGGAAAGCTAGATCACATACTGATGGGACGAGGTACTTCTTCTTGTCGATAGTGGGAATGTCGGTCTTGTCTGCCTTCTCGCAGATAACCTAACATAGAGTTGAGTATAACAGCGTGATGGAGATCGTTGTATACACACAGGAATTCGATCTGGATACTTCTGACGAATCCGTTCTGCTTCAGCCTTGCGCTTGTCTATATCGCAAACCGCTTAGTGATTAACACATTGCAGAGCAGTAAGACGCGCCACGCACCAAAAGGGTGCTCATCCTTGAATTTAGACCTCATCTTGGGTGCAGGGTAATGTTAGAGGCTGGACAATCGGCAGGGATGGTGGTGGTGGTGTACAAAGAAGAGGGGTGGGCGACTTTACGATGAAGTAGTCGTCAGGAAGGCGTGCGCCGCAGGCCAGGCGCGACCGGGCGTGACTCACGAAACAAACCACAACAGCGGCGAACAAGCTCTCCCAATTTGGCAATCTCAGTATTCCCTGCTCATGGCTCAGAGCTCAAGATCAACAGATTTATCCTCCAACGCCTCGCGAGGGATAAGGGTTACCGCGGATATGAAATGATTATAAGAGGTAAGATACATTCCGGGCAGTAACCGAGCCTGCACAACCTGCTACTCTCCAAACTACTTGGACCACATACTGCTTTCAGACCCACAAGTCGCCGCCCTACGTCTATGAGATTTAGGATCTCAGGTACGCTGTGTTGTGGAAAATGTATGCTCCTTGCATTGGGTGGCACGAGCCTAAAGTGCGCAAACAATAAATCGTTTACTAGAAGTCATGCGTAAACAGCACAGTAAGGGTAATAACCCGAGTCCTTCCTCCTCGACAGGACGGGTGCACATACCCAAGAAGAATTTTGAGGGAGAACTGGTCGAATACATTACGTCTATTTGAGAATCTTGCCAAGTCTCATGAGATGATAGTTGATCGTAGCTCCTTGTGATTTTCCGCCCATAGGCTGCAAGGAGACTATGAGTGTCCACAGTAAATTGCGAAAGCCCGTACACACCGTTGTTCTCATGCACTCGTATAATGCTTTTGCGTGGTCTTGGCACTGGCCCATGGAATGCAAATCTCCTGTAGCAGCCCAGCAGCCCAGCATGCTCGCTAACTGAGCGCCGCAGATGTTCTTTGTATGCTCTTCACAAGAGAGGCCAGTTCAGCATAACGGCGGAGCAAAGAGAACTTCTGGCAGCACACCTTTACGAGGCCTGACTTTTAGTTTCTTGATATTCATAGCGGGCTAAACACCCTTCGCGCGACTCTGGCTCGCACACGGAAGGCACACCTTAAGTTAAAGGAGTAGAAGAGCGCGTGTTGGGACGAGCAACGGCCGTTGTTGAGCCAGCGAATAGAATTAGACCAAAGGGGAGAATCCCGACCCCGAGTATCACATGATATCTTCCACGTTGGCTATGCGCCCGGGCACTTTCCTCTGACGTTCACTCAGCATCTCTGCTGCGCACTCGCATTCAGCCACAATGTCTACAAGAACAGGCCTCAACAAAAACAATTCTGGTAGGTTAAGCAAGGATTGTATTTATCGTGTGCATGGTGTACTTAGGCTTGGTCCCCAGCCGTGAAGCGTATCATGCAGGAGGCTAGAGAACTTGCGAACGACCCATGCACAGACTATGCTGCAGCACCCTTAGAGGTAAGCACGAATTGTCTTCAATCCTGTGCAATCATAACTCATGTGCATTCGTACCTAAGGATGACATCTTTGTGAGTGTTTAGTAGTCACTGACAGAGTGCAAGCCTTCATGGTTGTAGGAATGGCATTGTACCTTGCGAGGCCCATCTGGGACCGAGTTTGAGGGTGGGCTCTATCACTTCCGTATACTCCTCCCTGCGGAGTATCCTTTTCGACCACCGTCCATCATGATGCTAACGCCTAATGGGCGATTTGAACTGAACACCAAGGTGAGAATATTCTATCATAGCTGACTATGGACCTGACTGTATATTTTCCATCAGATATGCATCAGTTTCACGAATTGTAAGTGCTCCATTTTTGGGTGATTATTCTCATTTAAAACGACCATAACAAGATCATGAAGAACTCTGGCAGCCTGCTTGGGGTGTACGAACCGGTAAGTACAGCTAGTGTTTTTAAGCAATAGCAAACTCACGTTCTGTTTTCCTTAAAACTTGGCAGCTATCATTGGCCTGCAGGGTTTTTTCCCACTGAGGGGAACAGCGGCAGTCGGCGTCGGCGCACTTGAGTATCCCACCCCAGAGCGGAAACGCCTCGCGGTCTTGTAAGAACCTTCTACGTCACAAATGCTCAATCTCACAAACTCTTTCCCAGATCGCGCGATTGGGTTTGCCCGACGTGTCAGCGCACGAACCTAGGATGTCTCCCTGATCCACCGACCGCAGCCACCAGTCTCTCTAACCCCGATACTCCCGTCGCAGCTGATATCTCCGTTTCCCAACCCATTGCCTCTGTTCCAGCGCCTGTAATCAGCGCCGACTCCATTTCATCGCCCCCAGCTAGCTCCCAGTTATCGGCGGCCGACATACCGTCATCGTCCCCAGGCGCTCCTACCACACGCTCTATTCCCGCTCACTCCATTCCTCTAATCGCTCCCATACCCACACGGCCAAGTCCCCCAGCCCCCATTCTGATTGATCGTATACCTACACCACCCGTCGAGGAGGTGAGACCGTCGTCGGCTAAACCGGAGACTAGTCATCCGGCGCCACAACCTCCAGCTGACTTGCCTGCTCTCGCTGCTGCGATCACCCAGAGCTCCCGTCGGCCGCCAGTCGTTCTGGACACGGCTATCTGTGTGTTGCTCGTGCTCGCGATCGCATTGCTAGCGAAGCGAGTATTTTGATATATTATACTTTTCTGTGATCCAGGGGATTATACAGTGTTCAGCTCGCTTGTATTCAATAGTGTAAAACAGCTCTGCAGCGCTTGGAATTCACTCTCACACAATACATAAGATTGCACGATTTTGCCTCATCCATGTCCCGAAGGATAACCAAGGGGTAAACCACCTAGTGGCGGTACATATATTCAGAGCAGATGAACAATACACGATAAGTAGGGAAACAAATGGAACACATCTAATAAGCTACTTTTTCTTTGGGTCTCTGAGACTGAGCACTATTAGATCCTCATCCTCAATATTATAGCTTGCAATCGTGTTCGCGTTGGTCAACATTTGCCCTGCGTATGCTAGCCTAATCCGCGAGACGGGAAGGCTCCCCGTATGCTGTAAAATGCGATCACGCAGCGTAGAAACCAATAAATTGAGGGGCACATCCGGAATGGTGGTAACTCTGCCGTCAAGTTTCCACTCTGGCTTTGACGGATCGTTAGGCAATTGGACGATCAGTGAAATTGGATGCTGACGAACAAATCATTACGATATTCTGTTAAAAATCAGACGTGTGCTTATACTCACCGGGTGCATGTTGATCCAATCTTCCTCAGCGTACAGCCGTGTTCCCGGTACCTTCACTATCTTCTGCCGCTTCGCTGGCGGAATCTCGTCTACATGGCCTTCCATCATCTCATCGGCACTCCTCACCATGCCCGCTTGTGGAGGCGTCCCAACTGGTGTTGCGCCGAGAGCCGCGACGCGGGCCGGGTGCATCACAGGCGGAGCAGCAGGTGGCTGATAGCCAAACGGCTGCGCCGCATCCATACCCTGATAATGCAGCGGGGGCAACATGACGGGCGCAGGCTGTGTAGAATACAAAGAGGCTGGCTGTGGTCCGGAAGAAATTGTTGCAGCAGAATATGCAGGATCAGAGGGTTGCATGGGGGGAGCAGGCAAAGACGCCGGTGGTGGTGGGAGGGAGGTCATCGGAGCAGGAGCAGCTGCAGGGCCAATGCCGGGGCCAATTGCGTTGACCTCTTGTCTGCGAAACGAACATAAACAGTCAACGTGAAAGCTGTGGATAGGATTAGAGACTTACGGGCCAAGACCCTTCGCACGATGAATGGCAGCAATTTGTTCGTCGAAGTTGACATTTGTTGAGAACTTGTCGAGCGTATTCGCTTTGGACGCGGTATGGCCATCCCAAACAACCTTTTCCCTCTCTCTTCTGCGTAGTCGCTCCTCCTCTTCCTCTTTCTTGCGCTTCTCCTCGTCTGCTTCTGCACCAAAGATATCGACACGAGTACGTGCCAAGTTCTTCAACGACGAAACGACATTCGCTCCGCGCTGCAACTCGGACGCTTGCGCCTTGCGGGCCTCCAAAGCATCACGTTGTGATTTCCACTTAGGGTCAAGCAGCTCGATACGCATATGCTCCTGTAACTCATCCACAGGGATTTGTTGCCCACAGATGGTGCAGGTTGTCATCTTCTCCGCCGACTTCTTGCCAACTGAATAAAACCACATGGTCAATGGTGATGGGGAGCACTCTGAGAATGACGTACCCTTCGGAACATAGTCTGTCCTAATCTTCATGGGAGCACCCGCGTCCAGAGAGTTAGCCTGTATCGCCCGCGCCCTCTCGACTTCCTTCATTCGCTCTTCTTCCTCGCGCCTCCTCCTCTCCTGAGCATCCCTGTCTTCATCGTCGCTTTCTTCCATAGCTGCATCTTCCACACCACCTGCCAGAGGAATTCCAGCACCACCAACTGCGGCTGCTGCTTCTGCTTCCGCCGCGGCTTGGCGAGCACGATGAGCTTCAACATCCTCCGCTGTGGTCTCCATGACCATCGCCGCCATTCGCTTCTGAGCCAAAGTCATGTTCTCGACTTCTTGCACGCTCATTGGAGGAGGAAGCTCTGAAGTTGCATCCGCAGCTGTAAATTCGATGGTTTGCACGATAGCATAATCGTGCCAATCAATCTCAGCGAAAGCAACTGGAGTAAATACATGAGTATGGTACTTTCCCATCACGATGTAAGACTCACTTCTCTCGGCTTCCTTGTCATCTTCACGCTTCTTCTCCTTCTCTCGTTTGCGCTGTTCCCACAGCGCTCGCTTTCGAGCTATCTCAAGCTCTTTCCACCGGGCATCGTCCTGGGTTCGTCCTTTCAGTTGCGCTAGCATCTCCTTACTAGGAAGGAGAACTCTTGAATACTGCTCAACTAGGCGATTGAAGTAACCGAACAGGGAATGTGTCGGCCTGAGAAAATCAAATTGATAGTTTCGTCCTTCTCTTGCAGATAAAGCTGCGAGGAACGAACGCCCTCTCCGCGCCGTGAACAACGCCGTCAGCTTCATGATGTCACTGCAGCCCACTATCAATGTGGAACGAAGTTGGATTCCGAAAATAAGAGACTCACAGATCAATAGCACTGATGTTGGGAATGTCGAGGATGAATTCTGGCATGGGAGGTTCGATCCCATTGTCGACCACGCGCTCTTCAACCACGCGCTCTACTTCCTTGTCGTCCTTGTCGGGCACGGTCTCTTCATCAATCTCGCCCCGTACTACCTTCTCCATGCGGTGTCTATAGTAAGCATGATAAGGGTCGGCCGAGTTGAGAAACGAAAACTTTGGGTCCTGACGCTGGTTCTCGCGGATTTTGTCCTCAAACTGAGGAGGGTTAGCGGACCGCGCAACAAAGAGCGCCGTCCGGTCAATCACAGCTGGAGTAAAATGAAGTTTTATATCTTAGACAGTGTACGAAAGAAAGGCTTGACACTGGTACTCACATTTGATCTCTGGAGGCGGGAGGATGAGCCCGCTAGCAAACTTGGGCTCCCTTGGAGCACCATTGAAGTCGCCGTGACCATTAGCAACATGTCCATTGCCATTGAATATAGGGGGGAGCATGGACTGTACATCGACTGCGCTCATTCTGCTAGTCACGCCAGGATGGTCAAAGAGAATGAGTCGGAACAGGACTGCGATGCTTAACGCGCCCAATGGGAAGAGCGTTGATTAGTCAGCAGCCTCTCCCATTCTCAGCGCCGCAGCGTCTCTCGTGGCCACTTGTTGGAGCTGTCTCGCCGAGGGCAGTATGTTTGGACCCTTTCGAGCAACTCAACCAAGCCTTGTCGGGCTTCTATGGTGAGTATCTACATATTTTTATATCAGCAGTAGCTGGACTCCAATGTACTCAGGAAAACGCCATGGAAGTTGTCGCCGACTCGGAAGGCTAACGCTAGGACACGTCTCAAAAGAGTGGACGCTGTGATAGAGGCGGTCAGAGCGAGCGGAGTTCAGTGTGCTTCTCTCGTGAGCTGCAGATCCAGTGTTCCATAGTCACTCACATTCACCGCGTCTGCGACATTTCTCCTAGACGAAAGCGTTAGAACTACCCAAGGAGCATGAAATGCTCCCAAAGGACAAGTATACGGTATTCACACGACACAGACGGGGATACCGCAAGGGCATCCACAAAGTACCGAAGTGGACACGAGTATGTGTTCTCAGTGTCATTCCTCTGGACGCATGTATGGCTCATTGTTGTACGACAGTTGACCTTGAGGACGAACCCAACAGGTTTCTAGACATTCAGTGCGACATTCCATGCTGTATTATACGTCTAACGCTAGTGGATGGCGTAATTATAAACATCATAGGAACACTAATTGTATTTTGCCTTGGCGGAGTCCTTGCAGCACCTTCGGAGCACCGAGAACAGTCTTGAAAACTTCATCTCGCGTCTCTGGGATCTCGAGCAGGTTGCGGTTCTTGGCATCCCGATAAGATACGTCGAGAAGGACATGTGTCAACGCGGACGTGGACAACGCATCTGTACATGGAAATTTTTTCAGTAGATTGGGTCAGCCTTACGTTATCCACAGAAATGTTCATGCGACGTCGGACGCACCGGTGTCACACAACAGCTTGCCGAGCCTTCCCGGGGTGCCCACTGCCGCTGCTATCTTCGTTCGTTTAAGGTAGGTAACGTGTTCCTCCAGCTTTATGTGCCTTGCGAACAGTTTGGCTACCTCGCCGCCCTTCTTTCCACGGAGGTTTTCATCCTTGAGAATCCTTGTAACATCCGCCACTCGCAAAGCTGCTCCGGCCACAAACAAGAGGGTCGGTGCTCCCTTGGATTTAGGTCTCTGCGATAATCTGACACGAAGGGTAGGCAATACTGAGACGTGCGCCGTGGGTGAATACGGCACCAGAAGAACGTGATTCTGCAACTCACTCTTCGAGATGAAGTCAACCAGAAAATCCAGATTCCGGGAGTCCGTCCACTGAGTTGTATCCACTATGGAGCTCTCTGCCTGGCTGTCAATGTTGAGAACAACTTGCACTGGAATGCATGCGCGCATTTACCGGGTATCTGGATGTCGGCGAGCTCTATGCTGGACATCTTAGAGAATGTCTTTGCTTGCATTGACGAAAGACAGTCAGCCAGCACACCCGGGGACTGTGATGCTACAGAAGGAGCTTCGACAGGACCCTCTGACATTGTCAATTTTCGTTTCTACAAAGACATGAGTCCAGGCTGTAGTCTTTCTTTGTACGCACTAGACGCAAAAGCAGACCTTCGCCTTCCTCTCCCTTTCTTTCGCTCGCCGCTTCCGTTTCTTCTCTGTGACACCCTGATCTGCAGCAGCATGGACTGAGGTCATATCCCCCTCTTCGTCCGCGCTGAGCAATGCGCCAACATCATCACCGTCTGCCAAATGCACATTTTCGTCCTCCGATACGGCGACCAGTTCGTCCAGGACGAAGTCATCATCTAGGTCGTCCCCTCCCTGTCTGATCATGGGTGGTATAAAGATGAAAATGGGTTCTGCGGCCTACTGTTTAAGTGGAGCGGCGGTCAGAAATGGAAGCCCGTGAGGGGTCGACTGAGAAGGGTTGTCGAGAGAAACGGGCGACGAGAAATGGCATGCGCGCCAAAGGAACGGAATTGAGGATCACGTGCCGGTGTGGCAATCCAGTTCTCCCGGTTGTGATTATTCCCCCCGCCACTGGTAGTGCCCCCGATGTCAATTCTATCCTGCTATCAGTGGTCGCTGCTGCCCCGCTTTGTGTTCTAGATTTCTGCCTGAGGTCGGTGGTGAACAGTCGTCTGAAATAGCTTTTTGACTCACGCTTCGCTATTCTCGTTAGTACGATAGCGATGAGAACACCCGAGCCGGTCCCGCGGTGGCTGCCACCGCGGTTCGGCGCATTCCTGGAAGACTATGGTGTAATTGTGATCACTGTCACTTGTATCATTCTGCTTGTGAGCTATTCTCTATGGCGCAGTTTGTCGTGCGAATCGACATTCAGTCCACACCCCAAACCGCCACATTGCATGGCGGAAGATCCACTAGGCCTTTCTGGCCCTTCGGTATCTCGAAAAGTGGGTTCTGGCTCGTCGGAGATACCTGCATATCTACAACAAAGCACCACTTTGCAGGGTGTGAAACAGCCATACGATGCATTCCTCGTCTTGGACGTCGAGGGTACATGCGTTGAAGGATCATCATCATTTGATTATCCGAACGAAATTATAGTAGGTCGCGGAAATCCACGTCTACACCTCACGTCAGCTTTTCCATTGCCAACAGGAATGGCCCGTCTGCCTGCTGCGCTGGAAGGACAAAAGCCCTGATGGAATTGCTAAGGAGCTCGTCGTAGTAGCCGAATTTCGAAGTTTTGTCAGGCCTACTTGGCGGCCGCTGCTGTCGCAATTTTGCACAAATCTTACTGGGATCACTCAAGTCCGTTTTCCGTCCAGCCTTTGATTGTCATTTTCGTCGGATTGAGGCGTTACACTGGTCTGCAGGACCAGGTGGACAGTGCTCCCGAATTCACAGAGCTGTTACAAATGTTCGAAACGTTCCTAGAAGACAATGGTCTTATCGAGCCAGTTACAGGGCGTCGTCTTGTGCGGTACTGCTGGTGCAGCGATGGTCCGTTCGATGTCCGCGACTTCGTTGTGAAGCAGTGTTTCATATCGAAGGTATTATCAGCATCGGTCGCAGTGTTGTAATTGCTGAGGTGAATGACAGGTTCGAATGCCGGCATGGATTACGGGCGACGTTTTGGACGTGCGCGGAGCAGTCCGAACCCATACCGATCGCGGCGATGATATCAAGCGTGGCAAAGGCCATACAGTTATAGTGTGTCTCCTGTTCATGACGTTATCCTTTGTGTTGACACATCCACAGCATGCATTTCCCCTTCCGTCCCGTATCACATTGAGCATCCCACGCATGCTTCAAGCACTAGGTCTAGCTCCATTCGAAGGTCGTCAACATAGCGGCATTGATGTCTGTTCAATTTTCTCCGGTTTTTTCGTTGAACCATTGAACAATTCCAAATCAATTCTAGGACGCGCGAAACATCACAAGGATCATAGTTGAGCTGGCTGGACGGGGTGTGAGACTACAACCAAATACATCTATTAATCCTAACAGGAGATGGCCCTGGATGGGTAGACGCGGAAAAATTCTTGAGGGATATCATTAGCAGGAATTATCCGCCATAAATAGGCTGTGTCGCATCTCGGTCACTGCGGCATTCTCATGGCACCGTGTGGTTATTTCTCATGATACCACCACCGTCTTCCATAGACTTCCCTTTTTGGCCATAGATGGCGATTCTTGCCTACCGCATGGGAGCGCTGCGTTAGCATATTTCGACTGCGTCGTTTATTCTGGCGATTGAAGTATTGGCAATAGTGTAACTTGTGCTTGTTGATCGACAACGGTCAGTTTTTCAGAACCACGCAACAATCAACTTAACGTCTTGCACACTCCGTTGCAGCACTCCAAGCTTTGCGGTTATGGATGTTCCCAAATGATATGCATACAATGAGGTAGATTGTGATATACAGGATGTGCAATCAAAACGAGAGTAGGGGATGGGAAGGGATGGCCGCCCCGGTCTATGGGATGTATTACAGAGATCTATATGAGTGATGCAATAATACGAAATATCACTGCGGAGCGCATGGTCAACGCCTGTCAACATGGAGCATGAATGTGAACTTACGAAATCCCAGAGAGTTCCGAAGCATGGAATTTTCTCCTCTTTGCAGGCCTATGAAGTCGTGGTAAGCTTTCTCATGCGGCGGTTGCCCGCTATAGTTCAACGCACCTGCATCATTTCTGAGTTTCCCACGTAGTTAGACGTGATAAAGACGACTGATGACAATGTGTTAGCGTGGCATGTGCGTATACACGAGTCTCGCTTACCTTCGGCTTTCCAGGAGTGGTAAACCTCCTTCAGGATCTTCCTCGTGTCGGGCCGGCCGCCTCGAACTTTACTGTCCCAGAGCAGGTACCGCTCGGGCTCGATGTTACGGTTGATCAAGCCGCTAATGGTGGGACCGAAAGTCTTCTCTTGATCAGATCCTGTCGTGAGAACAGCATTGAGCGATGCAACATTGAACACATGGAACAAAATGAAGTACCTATCCAGATGAGATACCTGGATAACGATTAGCCGAAGTTTTTAATGGAAGCAATGTACACGAACCAGTAGGGGGACTGAATGCAGGTGGAGAGGGCGGCACCGATACCGGTACCTGTGCAGATACGAATCCCACGCTTGTAAAGGGTGGAAGTATTTGAAACACCAGCCAGCTATTGGTACACATGAGTGGGAGAGAACTGTAGTTTACTATCCATGGGCTGACCTTCAGCTCTCGCGTCCAAATCATCTTTGGTGGATCATTGACGAGGCTGCGAGTGAAATCACCTAAGTCGACCGTTAGTTTTGGAGAAAAAAATACAATGAGATGCACTACGTACCCTGTACACCGCAAACCATGTAATGGTACTTTGCGTGTGTTCCCTCGCTGGTGTGGATGAGAACGCTTCATCATACAAACACATTGTGCATACTTACGAGATGATCCCGAACGCATGATACTCCTTGACGGTACTACGGCTGATGCGACCAAGTAAACCTTGTTGCATACCACGTTCGAATCTGAGCACTGCAACCTTGTTTGAGGGCTTCGAAGCGCAGTGTCGATTTATTTGGGTTAAGGCGGAGAAGATAGGACAAACACTTACGAGTTCGATGTCGATGCGGACCTTCCTTGTACAGATCCAAGGAAGAACGATCCATAGGGTCATTCCCATGACATACCAGAAGTCTTGTTGTCGAACGATATGCGCGGTGCCTAAGTTCCAAGTCTTCGTCGTGGTATCCCACAGGTCGCCCAGAATGACGAAGGTCCCTTATGAATTGAAGCGTGAGTATGATCAAGACATGAAGACGGTAGCGGATATTGATGTACTCACAAGAGAGGAACAGAGCAGACCATCCCATGAACCGGTGCCACCGCTCGAACACGCTGAGAAGGCATCAGCGATGAAGTCGTATGGCGGTGGACAGCAAGAACTGACTTGTGATGCGTGTTGCGCACCCAGGGGAACCCAGCAACTGCGGTCACGATCAAGGCGATATTAGCCATAAGACCAAGCGCCAAAGCTGAGTTTGACTCGTTGACGTGGTTCCGGTAAGTGTCCACAACATCGAGTGTGATCCAGATGATACCCGAAATTGCACAGCCAGAATGTATACCACCAAGATGCTATAATGATATGTTAGTTACCTGATAGGGCCGATATGAACTAGACTGACTTGAAGGACAGATGTGCAGCCTAGACGCCACTTCAAAGGCGACCACTAAGAATAAACACATCAGCTCCCCGTTCCTATCACGGAGCCTGCTATATCATAACGTACCTTAGCAAACAAGGTGTTGACGAATAGATACAAGAGACGCCCAAATATTTCGTTTCGCACCAAGATAGACACATTGAAATTTCCCACCGCCATTGCACCGCCGTATTTTTTGGCGTATGACCAGTGACCAGATACCGCAAACCCAAACAAAATCATATTCACGGAGAACGTGATGGTGAATAGTTTCCTATCAGCAAATAAACATCAAGAATTTTCTTTTCTTATCTTCTACTCGCCACGTACCGGTACGTGTTGTACCATAGTTGCCAGAGGATCCATTTTGAGACCTTCTTCTTGGGTGGTTTACTAGCTGATTTGGGGGCACTTTGAGGCTCCTTCTTCTCCGCTGGGACCGGCATAACCGACGCAACCGTGAGGTCTTTATCTTTCTTCTCAGATGGTAGCGCCACCTCCACAGGGCGGATCTGCACATCTAATGCGCCTTTCTCTGCATCGTCGTACGCAGGGGCGGCTCCGCGTAGTATAGCGTCCGACATAATGAGGTCAGCAATGGATATCGGCAGGCGAAAGACGTTGACAACGTCGACGGCAGTGAGATGACTCTGAAGAGGAAGGGGGTTGCTTGGGGGAGAAAGTCCAAGGCGAGAGAAGCAAAGTGGACACCCTTTTATACCTTCAGAATCCGGGAGCCAATTAAGGTGGGATGCCCATGCACACGCCGATGGTGCAACCCACGAGGGATTGCATCCAAAATCATTGCTCGGGAGATTACTACACCCGAACGAGTGTCCACAGTGTGCGCCGACTAGGCCTCGTATGGATCATATCCACTCTCAGCCTCATCGGCGTCCGAGTGAAGCATTTCCGAATTGAATGTAGAGCTATAGAGATCTGTCGACTGTCATTCGAACCTGAGAGTGTTCTGACTAGCTTCGTTTGAGAATACGAGTTTCAGATCTGTCGCATTCCTAGTGGTTTGGACATCAGGAATGCACCGGGCGTTCGCATGGTGGCAAGGTTACGCACATGTAGACCTAGCGCGGAGCTTCCCACAACGGGCGTCTCACGCGGAGAAGCCAGGTACAGGCTGACATACCGTGGGGGAGTGGCCCAGGAAAACGCAACAAGAGGGTCTATCAGTCCGCGCTTCTTAGCAGCCGCTCCGATCTTAATCTCGCTTCGCACGATGCCGCTTCCTGGGATCCCATAACGTTGTAATCATAGCTCATCGAGCGGAGCCATCGCATTCCCGCACTGAGCTCAATGCTGTGCCGAGCAGATTTCAGTGAACCACTGACAGCGCCTCGAACAGACAAGATTCTCACATTCGCTTGTAACCGGCCAAATGGAGCAAATCTTGAAAAAGACCAGCCTGAGTCTGGAATGCTGAGTTTGCTCGGAGGGAAGCACCCCCGGCATCGTCCACAGGAAGAATGTTTATCGACAGTGCCGATCGGTGTGATCACTTTCTCTCGACACGGTTCATCTGGGATGAGCTAGCAGGAGGAAGTTCGGATGTGCACCGCGTCGAAGAAAGTCTGTGGATGACAGTGGAACAGGGCTGCGCCCTTTTGGGTATGCCTGTATTTCCGAAACCCCGGTGGCCGTCGCGAACCATGAGCAGGTGAACGCAATCAAGCCACTTGTCGATAATTGTGGATGGTCATCTCCATGCAACTGCCTCCGGGGCCGGCGAAACCCTCGCGACTGCGTGAGAGGTCGGAACCGCAGGTATGTTCTATCCACAGAGTATACCTTATCCTCGCGACGATACGCCGAGTTCAGGCGACGGACTCGAGTCATTCGGTTCGTTATCATCTCCATCTTCAGAAACGAGGTAAAGACGATGCAATCAACCATAGGCGTACCTCGATAGCGATATCGACTCGGAGAGACACGAAGTGACAGGCTGGTGATCCTGTGGTGGCCGAGCAAGCCTTGGATGACATGCGAAAAGGATATTTTTCTTTCCCTGGGCGTCACGGTGCTTGAGGCTGCGGCCGGATGAGTGTCGACTTTGCTCATTTGTTGAGGTGGGATAAGCTGAAGACGAGGCGATAGCACGAGGCAATCGCGAGATTGATGCAGAACGTGTGAAGACAGCCTCCGCGAATGGGACCGCAAAGGGCTTGGCAGGATGGTGCCAAATGTTGTCGACGAGAATTTACCCCCGGCTGCTGGTAGATCATACGCGGCCAGTCTGCTCCAGCGGTGCCTAGTTCTGCCAATGATCTCCAGAAATTGCAGATTGGCAATGTGACGCCGTTCCCGCACTCGCCGACGGAGACTCCTCGGCGTCGAATCACAGTGCAACAACCTCGGGTCGCCCTCGAAGGCAGGCCGCCAGTCTCTCCCATCGGTTCAAAACGTCCTCATGGAATATCCGCACACTAGAATACAGTCGATGGTAGAGTACATAGATAAATACTATAGATACGTGGGACTTGCCCGCTAGGCGCGGACTCGGACGTTTCCGACACTCCGGATGCTCTGCGCCACTGGTGCCGTCGACAACGCACAAAGCTAATTGGACTCTGCAAAATCACGCAGATGTTTGAGCTGCTTCGAGACCTCCTCCTTGAACATGACAGTGTCGCTGCTGTTCTTGATGATGGCCCGCATGGTCTCATCCTTGAGCCGATTTACTTTATCAATCTGTTCTCGATACCTATGGCATTTGTGTGACACTGAGATACAAAGATGGAACAGTCAAGACAGAGGGACATACGCAATTTGCAGTGCTTGTAGCCGAGACTTTACCCCCACGCCGTTGGCCATAGCAGCCGTGCGGGCTTGGGCAAGATCCCGTTCCAGTCGTGAAGCTTCGGCGTTACTCACTAAGGCTTCCTGTTGCGCCGCCTGCAACCACAAGTATCGCTCAGACGTCAGTAGTCTGCGGCCAATAGCGTCGGAGCAGTTAGTCACTCCCTCACCTCTCGCAGCTCATCGGCTTGATCGCTAAGTCCGTTGACCTTGTTACTGATCTCCAAGGCTTCTTCGTCCATATTCTCGCACTCCAGCGTCAGCTGATCCAGGTCGTTGTCAACTTTGATCCGTTCGCTTTCTACATCGGCACGTTCCGTACGTCTCATTTCAGCCACACGACTGAGAGTGGGCTTGACCACCCTCCTGATATCTGCACCTGTCAAGAGGAGTTGTGGATTTGATGCAGCTGAATTGAGGTCCAATGCAAGATCGACATCTTCTAGAGGCGGCGGCAGGGGAGGAAAAAGTCCCAAGCTAGAGAGAAGATTGCTGTATGCGTCGAGCGCGTCTTCTGTATCCGACACTTTTCTCGTTAGGGAAACTTCGAGTTTCACTACCAGCTGATTCGTCTCGGTGATTTTGTGCTTGAGCGTCTCGAGATCACGAGTAAGTGTCTCATGTTCCGTGTTCATGCGAATGACCTCTTCCGGAGATAAATTTTGTTCTTTGACCACTTCAGCAAGCCTCGATTCCTCCGCCTGAAGTTTTTCCAGATTAGCGACTTCCGAAGTGGACATTAGGAGATCTTCACGCAATATGCAAGACATGACCTACCACAGTAGGCGAGCTCTGCTTTTTCTCGCGCCAAGGTGTCCACCAGTTTCTTCTTCTTCGACTCACATCGTCGCAGGATCTCTTCGAATTTCGCTTTATCCCGCTTGATGAACCCATTGTCCTTCTGCAAGTCTTGAATGGGTGGCTGGTTGTGTCATTTTTGAACGGGAGAAGTAAGAGAGACGATCAATACAACGTACTGGTGCCTTTTCGAGGGATTCCAATTCAAGATTAACATGTTTCAACTCTTCTTTCTGCTGATCTAACTGCGTAACGATTCGTTCGTCCTTCTTTGCTGTAGTGCCTCATGAGAAGATGGTAACAACGTGAAAAGGGAATACCTACCATAATATTCTTCCAATATTCTTTCTTGTTCCGGGAATAAGTCTTGGCCTTGCAGAAAAATGCTATAAGCGCGCGTGTAATGATCCAGCGCGAGAGCTTGGTGGTGGTTGATGTCGTCAAACTCGTCAGGCACTTGCGACGAATCCTGCAAGGTCAAGTCTCCACTTTGCACATAATGGAATCGCGCCTACCAGCAATGATAGTATCCTATGTAAATTTGGATCGAGCAAAATCAATCGATGACGTACCTTGCCTAGTTCCGCGAGCCAGTGTAGCACTCCCAGCAACAACGGCCAGGCATGCATCGCACCTGGGGTTGCGAGAATCTTGAGATCGATTTGGCCTAGATATGGATATCGGAATGCCTTCAAAGGCTGCACAAACTGCTCGTCAAATTTCTGCTCTGGCTTGAAAGACCACTGGGGATCCAATAGTTGAACCAGCTGCTGGAAAACTCTGCGAAACTCATCGCTTCGTATACTTTGAAGAACACCGCTTTGTATCTCAAGTCCATTATCGATCATCCATGTGACAATATCCTGGCGCATTTTGGCTTGGAATTGTCTATCTCGTAGAGGACGGCTGTCCTTTGTAGATCCTTTCCCGCTCCCTTGCGCGGCCCCTTGCCCAGGCCCCACCCACATCGACCCTCGACGCGTGCTGCTGAAAGTGAGACAGACGAGGTTCAACACTATGGTTCCATAAACAGGGAAAACACTGGAGTTCTAGCCTAAGGATCAATGTATGCAGTGTCCATTTTACAGACAATGATCCTTACTTTGTTGACCAGCTGCTCACTCACCTGTGCAGAGGTGTACGGCCATAATTTGGTTTGCTCGCGCTTTGCAGCAGCGGATTGACGTTCTGAGAGCGCATCATGGGTGCTCGCGGATTAGTTCCTGGAACTTGTCCTATTGCGTGATAAGGTCCCCTAATGGCGGGCCCTGCCATAGACATGCGCCCTCCATGCGCGGGTTTCTTCACGGTGGATGGGACGGGAAGATTAGAACGAGCATTACTGTGGGGATCGAGGGCGGGCTGCATGGTTGACCGGCGACCAAAATCGGGTATCATGGTTCATGAAAAGCAGAAGAACAGATACAGAGTGCAGTCGAGTGACCTCTGCAGGGCGCGCCGCGGTAGAGGAATCTTAGAGCTGTGGTGACTTCTGCAAAGACGCGACCTGGATTCAACGCGACTGTCACAAACACGTGATTAGGTCATAGTGGCAAAGGGCGCCTCGTCTGGCAGGCACCTCCCGGCCGAGTCCCAACCACTGGCACTGTTGTCGCCCAATGTCCGGAACGGAAAGCAGGCAGCTCTTTGGTGGCGCTATCACTGCTACACTACCTACAGGTTTGATTGACGCATCGTATGTATACTCATACGCCGTGGATTGCAATCCACTAACTGATCCAAGCGATCTGCGTCAGGTACCCGATACACAGGAAGTCCTTCTGTATCCTGATTCGGGAATAAGTATCATATTGGAGGTGCTTCAATGCGTGGATGTCACGAAATATACTGATATTGCAAGGTGCGCAGGCTGAACGCATCCTATGTGCGGCGGGCAATTTACTGCTGTTCCCTCGCTAGGTGTCACTTTGACTCCTTGGCGCACGACAATGACGCCGAGAGCAAGAGTGTCGATGAGATTTCTCGCATGTACAACGAGCATGGACCCAAGACACCTGGCCCGATTGTCTTGAAGGGGTCGCAGATGGTCCGAAAGTTCAACAGCAAAATTCCTGATGAAATACGTATCTTGATGGCTGTCTATCGCCTGCAGCAGCAGAACATCGACCTCGTGCTCTCTATGAATGTGCCGATGAAGGCTTCAGATGGGATTGCTGTCGACGAAGCTGAATGGAATAGCGCGGCGGTTACGTTTAATGCCGCTGTGAGCTCCCTGCAGATTGTTGACTTCGGACTTTTTGCATGAGATCGAGCGATACAATGGTCACTCCCGCTCCTGTATTCCATTTCCTGACGCACAAACAACAAGAAACGTCAAGGTTGTCTCTCATAACGGTCTCAATCTGTATTCTCCATCCTCACGTTCTGTATTTATACAACACCTTTACGATATATTCGTATAGACAATTGGATGTGTAAGCATCATCGTGGTCGTATCCCTCTCACGTCAGTCAAGTGTCTGCCATTCCTTCGGAGATATCCTAAGGGCCATGGTATGACGCGCTCTGGTTTTGACCAAGATAGCGGACGGAACTGAAATATAACATGTACACAGCAAGAGAAGCATGTAACGGAAATATATGTTAGTATTGTGGTCAACAAGTGTCCTGCCTCCATATCTAGCCCCCCCCCCATTCAAATCATTGTCGCATATCATTCCTCTCTGCCTCTGCCTCAGCTTCTGGATCCTCTTCAATGCGCTCATCCACGATATTCGTTGCTTCAGTAGCTGCCTTTGCCTGCTTTTTCCGTTTCGCAGACTCTTTGAGTTTCTCCCACCGTTCACGAAATCGTACGATCATTGCTTTCTATACTCGATCTAATTCATTCAACAGCCGCGCTGACTCGGGAAAGTACGAACCTGTTTTTCATTTTCCACTCTCAGTACGCGCACGTCTTCTTCCAGCTCTCGTACTCTTCGGACGAGCTGTGACTCCCGTTCACGAGCTGGGTTAACCGGATTGACGGGGCCCAATGGTACAGGTGACACACTGATGTTCAGAGATGCTAGGTCGACTGTCGGAGGTTGAGGCTGAGATTGAGGCTGCCGTGGTGCCATGGTCGAAGATATCATCGCTCGATGAGCCTACACGGTCGTGAGCAAAAACAATGCTAAGCATTTATCGAATATACCTCTTTGCGTGCCAGCAATATACTATCACGTAGTTGTTGATCTTGTTCTTGTCGCATCTTCAACATTCCCTCAGCTGACGCCAGTTTCTTCCGCATGTCTTCCAGATCAACTCTGAACATATCATTCTCCTTCCTCAGTTGAGTAGCCAAGGAGTCCGACTTGCTAGGTATCAGGCAGAAGGAATCTGCCATGTCATCATCTGGATCGCATGAAACAAGATTAGACCTTGTACACATATATAAGAACAACAAAATGACCATCATAGCCCTGTACGTCATCATCCCAATTGTCTCGTGCGTCTCCTGTGAATATAATCTGTGGCCTAGGAGGGAATGTGCTGGGCCCAGCAGCATGAATACTATCGGAGTCAGAAGTATTGGAGGAATGATATGCCAGTACTCTGGATCGTGCTGCTTTCACAAGACCAATGCCGCGAGACATCGTTTTCGAGACGGGAGCCTCTATGTCGGTATCGCTGCCAGAGCTGGCATCCCGGTGGCTCGAATTCTGTGGTTGGGGAGTAGGCGCGAGAGGAGCCGTTGCAAATGCGACCGGTTGAGACAAATAGTCCAACATTCCCTCGGTAATTTTCCAGAATTGATTGAATGGATCTCCTGAATCGCTCTATCGAATGTGTTGTCAGCAATAACCCTTTCTCCATCAACACACACCAAACTCAAGCTGAAGCCTCCGTTACGTCTCATACAAGGTGTATGTGAGTCCGACGGCAGAGGCCATCAGGCAATAAGAAATGCAAGAAATCAATGAGCCAGCTGGTACTTCATAAGCCACATCGGAGTGGTAACAGATCCCCATACCAACAGCTGTAAGGACCGAAGCGCTATCAGTTTGGAACGAGACTACCATAGTGAAAGTCGACTCCAGTAGTCATCCCCGGAATCGTGAAAGCCCCTAGGCAACATGATAATGCATTTACCCAGTGCACTCGCAGCCGAGCACGCGGCATCGAAAGTTCAAGAAGTGAATTCAAAATACCAACCCGTTGTCCTAGAAGCATGAATGATTCGTCTGCAGCCTGTTGCGAATCTGACATTTGGTTGCGTGCGTGAGGTGGTGGTGAGGGTGGTGGTGGCGGTGTCAAGAGAGGAAGCGCGATGCTGACAGTGTTGGATGTGGAGGTTGTGTGCTTCTGTGGCAGGCTTGGATCCTTGTTCTCTTCACGGAGTTTGGAGATCCTTCTTTGTAACTCTTTCCCTGCTTTGGAGTGGTCATTATATAGCATTCTCAAGGTCCGTTTTGTCTAATAGCGAAAGCGAGGAAGTCTAAGATTCAACGGCGATGAAATGACACCATAAACGTACATTTTCATCACTTGCGGTTTCTATGCAGGCAAGAAATGCCTCTGCAGCTTTGTAATGCTCTTCGGCTGCAGGTATGAGTAGGCCTTGGGCGACGTAATCGTCCGCGTTGGCCGCGTGCTGGTGAGCCTTTTCGAGAGCTTCAACAGCGGTATGCTGTCACTATCACACCGACATACCATATTCAACGGTGAGGTGATGGAGGTCATTTTGGGCCGATATATGTCTACGTTGCAGGAGAGTGATGAGGGAACGTAACAAGAGCGTTCACAGTACGCGATGGGCACTGGCCCCGTATGTACATGATCGGCGCGCGCTTGCGCTTGTGAGCTCCGCGGCGCTTCCCCACAGCAACACTTTTGTAGGCAACGCTCACCATCCAGCTCTACTTTGACCAAGCTTTGACTCGGCCATACCACGGTGTACTACAGGCAGCAACTAATCAGCAAGTTCCCTATGCCCTCCGTCAAATCCAGCAGCGGCAGCAGCAGCAGCAGCAACGGGAGCGGGAACTGCCCAATGAAGAAGCGTCCGTTCCAAGCCTTCTGGTGATCCATGTTCCGCCAAAGTGGCCATCAGGTGCCCGGTCACGCACGTCCGGGCGCAGGTCGGGTATGGAAGTTTTGGGAGGTCCGACACGGAAAAGCGGACGGGTATTTCCACTATGGGGGTGGTCGTAAGTCGAATCTTCCGCAACAATGTTAAAAGTAGGGCGGGCCCCCTGCTAAGCGCACAGCTGCGCTCTCACTGATTCCACCCCAATTGCTTTCACTACAATCATAAATCATGTTTGACTTTATGCGAAAGAAGAAAGACGGTACTGGACACGCTCAGGATGCTGGGTCAGAGGTATGTTCTTCTTTGAATGCGGAAAGAGTCGTTGTTGAGCCCAGTCCACCGCAGTCCAGCACCAACGTCTCTAAGACAAAGAGTGGCTTGCGCCGTCATTCTCTGATGCAAGTGGAGGAATTATTCTCGGTGCGTCTGGTCTTTATCCAGTTTATACTCCTCGCTCAGTGTGCATGGACAGAAACGATCTCGAAATTCGAGCCCATCACGCGAAGCGGTAAGTCCAAATACTGCCTTTCACGGACAATAGATTGATGTACCGCTTAGGAGCGTTCTGCTGATCATCTTATGAGACCGTCTCATTCTAGAGCACGAGCATCGTCGTGCTCTGCCGTCTCATCGTTGGATATTCGCAATCCATTTCGCGATCAAGCAGGCGATTCGGTGACGGCTCCGAGCCAGAGCGATTTGACAATGGCGGAAACAATATCATATTATGGACCGCCGGCGGAAAATTTGCGTTACGTCGTCAGTCGCGCACCTGTGATCGTCAACCCACAGCCAGATAGCGCAGAGATCTTCTTTGCTGAGGATATTGCGCAGTCCGAAAGGGATTATTCCCTAAATCCAAATCTTGTCACCGATGTTCCGTCTTCAAAAGCTGAAGATGGTCATTCGTTGCCTCTGAACGAAGGGAATCCGGAGCAGGTTTGTCGACCTATGCTTTGTTTTCTTATTTATCAATTGATATAAGCTATTGTATTAATTGTTAGGCGAAGCGAGAGATGGCTTCCGCTGCTCTAGCGCGACCGACGGATTACTTGCAGGTCAAGATTCCAGTCAGTCTCATGAGTCCCCCACTATCCAACAATCATCGTCACTTATGGGCCAGAATCTAGTTCTATGCTCATGTTGTTGGACATGTTTGTGTCTGTAAAGGACTCTGCTAGAGCCTTTGTGTTGACCCTACATGTATTATATCGTTATGGTACATTCGGACATATAATAATGGCTGCGCATTCATAGCCCTGTCACGTTAGAGTGAATCATCTTAATTGGATGTTGCTGGTCGGAGGTCATTCTATAATATGAAGTCGCTGAAGTACGAATACTGAACGATTGGTACTTCTGGCTTTGCGCTCGAATTTACGCTGGACGCTGATCCGTCTCGATATTGGGGGCTCTTTTTAGGAGTAATTATTTAAATAATAAACTTATATTTTTATATGGAAGTTAGACTAGTCTTCATTAAACCTTCTCGGAACGGACAGCAAGGGTGTAGCTATATTAGCACTGTATACATTACCACTTACAAAGTCATTTTAGACGCCCCTCAGGGAAGTGGCTCGGACTTCACGATCTTGTCGTCTTCAAATCAGTACGACACAAGTACGTCAATATGTTTCAACGCGATCCTCGCGCTGGTGCGTTCCTAGGAGGCGACAGAGTATCTGGTCAGGACATTCGGGATCAGAATGGTGCGCTTAGTATTTCTGCGTGTGTTCACCGGATTTGACATTCTTTGCTTGCAGTACTTGCTGCTCAAACAATCGCCAACATCGTGAAAAGTTCACTAGGCCCAATGGGTCTTGACAAAATGCTGGTAGATAACATTGGGGTACGCTTTGGGTTGCTCACGTCGCTGCTGCTGTAAGGCCATAATTGATTATTTTAGGAAGTCACGATCTCAAATGACGGCGCGACTATATTGTCTCTTCTTGCAGTAGAGCATCCGGCGGGAAGAGTTTTTGTAGATCTCGCTCAAAAGCAGGACAAGGAAGTTGGAGATGGTACAACTTCTGTTGTGCTTATAGCTGCAGAGCTCCTTCGACGAGCAAACGAGCTCGTGAAGCAAAAGATCCATCCAACAACTATCATTACGGGTTACCGACTTGCCTGCAGGGAGGCCTGTAAATTCATGCAAGATCAACTGAGCATTAAAGTAGACTCGTTGGGTCGTGATGCTTTGGTCAATGCAGCAAAGACTAGCATGTCGAGTAAGATCATCGGGGGGTGAGTTCCGAATGAATTTTCGTTATATCAAAAAGTTCGTTATTGAATCTACCTAGTGATGACGACCTCTTTGCTCCCATGGCAGTCGATGCTATGTTGGCAGTCAAGACTATCAATAGTCGAGGAGACATCAAATATCCCGTAAAGGCGGTCAACGTGCTCAAAGCGCATGGACGCAGTGCTCGAGAGTCTATGTATGTGAAGGGTTATGCACTGAATTGTACAGTGGCGAGTCAAGGTGCAACAAACACACCCAATTTTCGATCCGGGTGATCACTGAGTTTTTTGTATTAGCTATGAAGACTCGCATCACAAACGCGAAGATCGCATGTCTGGACATTAACCTGCAGAAAGCACGCATGCAATTAGGTGTGCAAATCCTCGTGGACGATCCAAATCAACTAGAAGATATTCGCAGACGGTCAGGCACTGCCCTGGGTCAGATGCACGTCGGAACTGATTTGATATATTACTAGCGAGTCTGAGATTACACTCGAACGCATCCGCAAGATTCTGGCTGCCGGAGCAAATGTTGTGCTCACGACGAAGGGTATTGATGATCTGTGCTTGAAAGAATTTGTTGAAGCTGGTGCCATGGCGGTCAGACGGTGTAGGAAAGAGGACCTGCGCCGCATTGCCAAAGCTACTGGTGGAACTTTGGTGTCCAGTCTCGCCAATCTAGAAGGGGAGGAGTCTTTCGAGCCAAGTTACCTAGGCACTGCAGATGAAGTCGTCCAAGAGCGCATCTCAGATGATGAGCTGATTTTAATCAAGGGTACCAAGGTGGTCAGTTCCTCGTCCATTGTGTTGCGAGGTGCAAATGATTACATGCTCGACGAAATGGAGCGGGCGTTACATGATACTCTGTCAATCATCAAGCGGACTCTAGAGAGTGGGTCAGTCGTTCCCGGTGGAGGTGCTGTCGAGACAGCACTCTCAATATACTTGGAGAACTTCGCCACGACATTGGTAAGCACAGATCAATGACGACTGTATTTTCACGCTTCTTATTTTGGTGACTTGACTTAGGGATCGCGCGAGCAGCTAGCAATTGCAGAGTTCGCGAGCGCCCTTCTCGTCATTCCGAAGACTCTTTCTGTAAACGCTGCGAAAGACTCGACTGATCTGGTTGCGAAATTGCGTTCGTACCATAATGCTGCACAAAACGCTCCTGCGGGTGACCCGAAGAAAGTTCTCATGCGGTATGGCCTCGACTTACTCAACGGTGAAGTGCGGGACAACGTGACGGCAGGAATCCTTGAGCCGACCTTGAGTAAGGTCCGGAGTCTGAAATCTGCGTTTGAGGCTGCGGTATCGCTCTTGCGCATTGATGATGCAATTCAGTGTGTCCCCGGTGAGTACTTGTTTATTCCTGCCCATGGATACTTAACCCTGATTATGATCCATTTACAGAGTCGAAGGGGGAAGCCGACCCTCATGGCCACTAAAGATAGCTGAAAATGCTTGCAGGCACTCGAGAGGCGGGTGTCAAGTACAGTAATCCCAATTGTTGTCAACTGTTGCACGCTGTATATCATCTGGTAGAATACAAAGGCTTATTTCTGTGCATGATAAAAGGTGTCTAGGACTGAAAATGTGCAGCTTCAAGGCCGAGTCCGACCCCGGGTCGCAAAGACTTGGAAGCTTGACGGCGTGACAGATGCACGTGTCACGTGCGCGCGTCACGGCCAGTTGAGGCGGCGCATCACATGACCGCAATTGCTGTTGAGTTTACCGATCCGCCCGCCGCCTGCCTTCCACTTAGTTCACTCTCGCCACCGACTCGAACTTTCGCAGCTCCTTTTCTAGCGCCCAGTGCATCAACTTGCTCGTCGTCTAGCTTCGCATGCACTAGGGGCTTATGCAGAACGATTTCGCTCCGCTGCTCACCGCGTCTATATGTCAACGGCTATCTTCTCTTGTTTGGTCATGCCTCGACGCCGATCTGTACAAGTCGGCCATATTCTATGCGGAGAGATACTATGTCTGGGAACCAAGCAATCATGATGCTTGTCATCTATATGCTACGACCCTACTGCGATCCGGCCAGCCTCATTCTGCGTTGCATCTCCTCAGGTCCCAAGTTGATTCTCGGTGTGGCGGATGCCTCGAGATTAGAGCCAAGTGCTGTGCTACTCTGGGACGACATAGAGAAGCCCGGGATATCTTGGATGAGATTCTTCGAAATCCGTCACATTCACCAACATGTTTGTTTCCTCCCTTTCCACCGTGTCGTTTATCCCCTCACACGCACATGTATTCACAACCTTACAGCATCGATGAGCTCACGAATATCGCGCCCTTTTCCAGAAGAATCTGTGTTACACTGTCGCGCAGGATCCACGGCTGCCAGAGGCAATCTTCCGGAAAGTGCAGCGCTGAGCTTTCGGCAGGCGTTAGTCCTCAATCCCATGCTGTGGGAAGCCTTTGAAGGTCTATGTTCGCTCGGTACGTACGTTTGGAGGGATTACTTGAACGATAATATGACCCCATTCCCAGGTAACGTCCCAGATATAGACGACCTCTTCCCTCCCCGACTGCTACCTGCGAAGCAGACGGCATCGAATACAGCTCGCAATATGCCAGTTGCAACAGGTGCCGGATTTTTCACGCCTGAGACTGGCAACGGCGGTAACCTGTTTCGCGCCTGGAAGCCTGATACAGGCCAGCCACAGTTGTTCCGCATGATGGACGCAGTAGGACCACGCGATTCAATGTAAGCAGACTTGAAGTCACATGTAGGGTTTAGTTTTCACTCATCGCATATGTTCTTGTAGAGGGACAGTAGATTCGTCATTTCTGCCAGAAGTATCCTTCAATCAAGGAGCTATGCGCGCTAGCCGGTCGCAACCAACGAATTTGTTGGCGGCCCAACCACCAGCTGTGCGTCCCCTTTCTTCAGCAGATGAGGCGGGCCCGGTGACCAAGAAGCTCCGCTCTACTGTGCGGCAGCGCACGGCTCCGCCCTCTATCAACGCTGCGGACTCAAATGTAAATATTAAGCCGTCCAAGTCTGCTGGCGCACTGCATCTGAGGGCGGACGACCGCTCGAAAAGCTCCAAGGCACGCGCACGCCCGGCCTTAACAGTTGCTAACATCTTCTCATCTTCGGGTCGTGGCCAGACTGCGGCGACGTCCTCTAGGTCAAATGCCGTGGGCACCGGGGTTGGGAAAAGCTCGCGCGAGCAGCAACCTCCAACCGGTGCCGCGACAAGACGGAGCACGCGTCTGCTGAGCGGATCTACCAACAAGCCACTTGCCTCCAAGGTTAGCCACAGTAGCAATCTTACTCGCGAATTGCCAGACTTAGCTCTTTACAGCATGCCACGATACGGGACCGACGGCGAGCTCAAGTGCGGGCGCGATCAAACACATTGGATTCAGACGTGGACGAGGAGCCTATACCCAAAGGTGGGCGAGTTTGTTCGTGACGGTTTTATGTCTATATGTCATCTGTCTAGACGCATCTCCAGGTCCGAGTACATGGACGGCAGAACAAGAGCAGGCTGCACAAGAAGCCTACGATGCTGAGCTAGCCGACTATCACATATACGAACTGATGCGGGCATTTGCACGCGCAAGCAGAGCGATGGCGCTTTATGACTGTCGAATATGTCTTGATGAGCTAGAAAAGCTACCTATCATCCATAAACGATCCGCATTGGTGATGGCGATCGTAGGGAAAGCTCACTATGAACTTGGCGAATATGCTGCTGTATGTTTCCTTACGCTCTGTGTTTCAGGGGCCCTGACTCATGTGTCGGCTGCAGGCTGAACGTGCCTTTGAAGCCGTGCGAAATCTCGAGCCTTATCGTTTGTGGGATATGGAAGTTTTCTCAACCCTCCTGTGGCATTTACAGCGGAACGTCAAGCTATCTTTCCTAGCGCAGGAACTGGTTGCGACGGATCCACGGTCACCGCAGGCTTGGATAGCAGTTGGCAACTGCTTTTCTCTGCAGAAGGAGCGCTCGCAAGCCCTAAGCTGCTTCCGGCGGGCGGCACAACTAGACCCCAATTGTGCCTATGCTTACACGCTGAGTGGACATGAGTCGATTGATGAGGACTTGGAACGGGCCATCAATTTCTTCCAATCGGCTTTACGTGCTGATCCACGACACTACAACGCCTGGTACGTTTGTCTTGATCGGAGCGTCTGGTATCTCTGTGGCACGATATGCTTATCTTTACGCTTTTGCGGGGTTTCCAGGTATGGGTTGGGGACATGCTATATGCGGATGAGTAAAATTCGCCTCGCGGACTACCATTATAGGCGAGCAGCGCAGATACATCCCCAGAACGCAGTGCTTCTCGGCTGTGTGGGCATGGTGAGTGGTCACGCGACCTGTTGGGAAGGTAAATGCTAAACGCTGATGTAGGTGAGCGAACGGTTCGGGAACCGGCAAAAGGCGTTGGACCTATTCAATGAGGCGGTACGGCTGTCTCCCGACAATGCGCTTGTGCGTTATCGTCGGGCGAAAATTCTTATCTCGCAGCGGAGGTACAGGGTGAGTCCGCACTATTCTTTTCAGACGGGGTCTGTGACACATCTGTCATGCTGCAGGCGGCTGTGGAGGATCTGGAGTATCTACGCGACTCGTCGCCCGAAGAGTCGAATGTGATCTTCCAGCTAGCAAGGGTGTACCGGCTGCAAGGGGACGTGACCAAGTCGCAGCAGCTGCTGGCAGTTGCGCGAGATGTGTCGCCAAAGAGCGTGAAGAAGTTTGCGAAGCTACTGGAGACGGTGATGGACACGGAAGGGGGGGATGTGATGGACGAGGGCTGAGCGATGTACATACAAAGTGGAATTGTCTCATCATTGTCTTATCTTGCGACTCGGTGCGACTGGTGGCGGGCGAGCGCGGACGACGGGGCAGTCTTCTCGGGAAGTAGCCCGACCCGGGCGAACGGAGACGCTGGCTAGACGCGCGCGCCGGATTGGGCGCGGAGTCATCGCAGAGAGTGGTTATAAGCCGCACCGCCCGCCCTGACTCCTCGCTAGCCTTGTCCTCCGCCACCATGTCTGCCTGAACGCTGCACTCGTCCGCGCCCCGCCCCCATCCTCTTTCTTGCTTCCCGCGACGCCCCTGCCCCGTCCGGCGAACCACGAAACAAGCATGGTCAACACATCCGTCCACATCTCCAAGAACGGCACCATTCTGTTCGAGCCCTTCATCGTCTACCGTATACACCGGTAACACCCCAAACCTGCTTCGTAAGTCCCACCTCGCTCGCCTCGTGTCTATGCCTCATTCAGGCCACAGAACGCCTCACTGCCCCCCTCCGTGTCGCTCAACCGACTATTTGACACGCACTCTTCTGTCCCCCCTGCTCATGTCCACCCAGTCGACATCTCAGTCGACATCCCTGTTCTCCATGGCCCACTCCAAGCTGCGCTCCGCCCTCGGCGGTAGCGTCAAGGATAGCTGCAGTTTGCATCGCTGGGTCCTCCTCAAAAACTCTATGACTCGTTCTCACACCCCCGAAGCCCCTCCGGCCTCAGAGAAGGCTGATGTACCATATGTATCTAGACGTGATGAAGACGAGAGCCGCGAAGTTGAAGACGAAGTCAACTACATGTTTCCGGATCCCGACGCGCTCAGCCTTCGCCCCGCTGGTCCTGGCAAGTCGGAAAGCCAGTGGCTGGACTCCCTTCTTGAGACGCTGGGTGGTGAAGATGATGATTTGGATGCGGACGGAGATGCGGTGGTGTCGATATCTGTCTGTCCCGTCGATGACGATGACGACGACGACGAGCCGCTAAGTCCCCTATACTCGCCGATGTCCTCGTCGGACGACCTTGCCGCCCAGTCCAGTTTCTTCTGCAACCCCCATGCTATCCCTGTCCCCTATCCTATTCCTTACCCTCCTGTTTGTCCCTCGCGTAGCCCAGTGTGGCTCGATATGCACTCGTCCTCTGACTCGTTCTTGGAAGCAGCCCCGTCCCTGTACCACGACCCCCTTCCCTACTACGAAGTCGACGACATGGAAGACCTCTCTGTTCCAGACGCGATTGAGGACACTTCTGATGACGAGTCGGACGCGCCCTTGACGCCGTTTGATCACTCAACGTCATCGCTCGCCGCGGTCGACCCGGCTTCGGTTCCCTTACCCCCTGAACAACGACGACGGTCTCCCTCTCTTCTGCCTCAGGTATATATTGACACGGACGATGCCCACTTCTATCCGTTTGAACTTGACCCCCTACCATTCCATGTTGATAGCCCCGCCGAGACTGCCCGTGTTTACCGTCCGCCTCTTTACCAAGAGTGTTAGCAGTGTTACGCATATAATCACTCCCTCCCATCGATGCTGTCTTGTGACTCCTGCCTGCTTGTTGTGTCGTGCTCACTCGTGTTTCTTTTGCATGTTCATAATTACTGCCTTTTTCGCTTTGTGGAATTCAGGGTGTTGATAACGTCCATCATACGTAATTATAATAGAGTTCTAGAATCTAATCTACACTTAGCATCTCGGTAAGCGCAGCGACCGTCATTGGGTGTCCAAGCAACATCCGCTCTAGACCCGAGGACATGGACATGATGCGGCGACCACGCACAAACCACGCAGCTCCCATATTGGCCATGGCGATACCGTACCACCACGATGGGGTAATAGGACGATTCGAATGAGCCTAGTCAACATGGATAGTGAAACATGAGCTCGTCGCTGGCACCGGGTCATTTCCAGATAGTACGTACGCCAGTTCAAATCAAGGACCAGAGTCTCCTTGAGCGGAGTTGGCTACAGCGGCAGTTACAGCATGTGGCAGAGCAGGCGGCAAACCGTACCAGTCGTACCCCTTACCAACGTCCTCGGCACAGACATACTGGATTGATGTGCTGTTGAACGCCGTCGGATACGCCGGACAGATCGGAAGGGGTCGGGCGGCGAGGCGAGGCGCTGGGGCGGCGGCCAACGCGATGCGACGCCAGCAATGCGATGGGCACACGGTGAGCAGACGCAGCGGAACGTGGGTGAGCGGACTCACCCAGGCGCGCGACGCAGGGATGTTCCGCGGTAAGCTTCCGGGACGGAGCGCTGCAGAACGGAACGGGGTCAGCCAATGGAGGGACAGCACAGAGGCCTCCTCCTGCGGGTACACCGTCGTGCGCCACGCGCGGGCAGAAGAAGCTCACTTTTCGGCGTATTCGCTTAGGCGGTTCGCGATAAGGACAAGGTGCGACAGACCCGCTGCGGTCCAGTTCTCACGCAGCAGGTTTTCGTATAAGTGGAGATCGCAATGCGGCATGAAGACGAGCGTGGGGGCCCGGAGTCTGTAGCGTGCTTGCTGGACAGGGCTTCAGTGTCAGCGAGCTATGCGAGGCGAGGAAACTTGCCCTGTCTTCAGCCAAACAAGCGATACCGAGCGTCTGGAGAAGCTGAACATCCTGCTCCGTAAAGACGGGATCATATATGGATACCTGTGCGCGGTTCTAGGCAGGTTGGTACAGGATCCGGCGAGCGACAGGCACGGGAGAACTCACTATGGAGAGGTCGTCACATATAGCGAGGAGGAAGGCCAGTTGTGCGCGAGCATCGCGCGATGCGGATGGGCTGCCCAGGCCGAGACAGAGAACGGCCGGCGAGCTGAGTTGGAGGACAGCGAAGGCCTCTCGCAGCTGCTCTGTTCCGGAGAGAGGTTGAGAACGCAGTTGAGCGATGAGCGAGTTCCACGGACTCTTACACTCCCGCAGCCATTCGCCCGCCGCTAGGTCTTCCGTCGTCCGGCCGAGAAGGACGGCTGGTGGGACAGGATCTCTGTCTGGTCTTGGCCTGCGCTTTCTGTGGTTCCGGGCAGGCGAAAACGAGTCTGCATAGGCAAAGGATGGCGAGTCTTGCACCATCGGTGGGCGGGGAAGAGCAGCAGAGCACGCGAAATTTGCCGCGACGCGATTGGGCCCCACGTGTCCCTCGACGCGCTTGTGGCTGAGCGCTGTGTCCTCTCTTCCGAGTACTCCCACCTCACAATACACCCGAGGTCGTCTCACACCTCTCACGAGTCACCGTCCACTTTCTCGACCTTTTGCGACATCGATTGCACCCAAATCCTCCTACGGCACAGCGATCATCGTTGTCTCACTGAAGCATGCTTCGCGTGAGTCACTCCGAGCCAATCCTCCGAGTACAGCTACTCGTCTTTAGTTTAAGCGGTCACATCCACTTCTCTTTGGTCAAACATAGACAGAATCGGCACCGCATCGACTCATAGGCACCCTCCCAGTATAGCACAACAATGAGCTGCTGATCATAGGGTAGGGTCTGTCCAGTCATCAGATGAACTGCTGTGCACACAGCGTGGTATCGCCTGCTCCTTGTAAAGGGGCCTTGGGATATCTGCAGCATCATTCATTTCCTCCGATTGGCCATTGTCAGACCACCCCCATCTCGTTCTCGACATCCGTCCTCTGAATGAGCCTAGACCATGCGCTCGCCCATATTGCGGTGCCGTCCATTCCCCATTGTGATCCAGACCCCGAGAAAGGGTAAGTTACGATATCCATCAGGCTCGAAGGCATATGCAATGCCCTTACGAAGTAGATAAGGCGGTGTCTCCTCAAGCAGACCGTGGCCTAGTAAGGGCTCTGGGATCGTCATGTGTGTGTGCATGTTGCCCCGCTTTGCAACTCCAGCATCGAAGATATCAAGTCAATTGCGGCGTTTGTGCGCGATGACGAACAGAGTTTGCTCGGCACAAACATTCATGGCAGACGCAGCTGTCCATCCAGTGGTACGCAGGGTTGACGGAAGTCGTCTGATAAGCGGTTCTCAGCCGCCTTCCAATACCACATATTCACAATGTCTGCAACGCCCAGAAGTCGTCGCCTATATATGTCACGGTCTCGACCCCAATTCCTTTGTTCAACAACTTCATGTCCTCGGTGCTCATCTTGGTGATGCCTATACCCACAGCGTGCTCTTTCCCTTCCGCCTGAATAGCGACGGGTGTGCCTATAGGCAGGCTGGCGTCTGACGGAGGTAGGTATCCTCCTGCGGACGTCATTCCCGGGCACATCATGTTTGCACCGGCAAGGAGGAAGCGGATAGCCCCTCGGTCAATGCGCACGACGGGCAGCAGGAACGGATCTGGCAGATTGGGGTGCGATTAGGCTCTGCCTGCGGGAGACCACGAGCCTGATGGGCATACGTACATTTGTGCAGCAAGCGTAGGGTGGGATAGAGCGGCCCATCGTAGTGCTGGAAAAATAGGGGCTCGCCGTGCAGCGTGTAGACGGAGATATGGTCTCTGCTATCGTGGAGGCGCAAGTCTGGCGAGATCAGAGTAGGAAGATGCGAGGCATAAGAGTACAGACCATTTGACGAGAGCCAGGGACTCTTTCTTCGGCCATATCTGTTCCAGCAATTCTGTTTCGGCCTTCCATTGTGATAGGAGGTTCGCTCGTATCGACCGTTGGACGGACGATTTCAGATTGGTCTGACCCGAGACATCAGTGGATGGAATAAATCTGTGAAAAGTTATCAGCGCATCTCGCTCGAGTCATGGAGCGATTACGAACTTCTTAAACATAGTCCCTGTTTGTTGTAGTGAATGAGAGAATAGTAAGCTACAATGAGGTCAGTAGTAGGGTCGTAGTTGGGCGATGAATGCTGCAGCCACTTGTAGCCATAGATCCAGGATGAGGTTATCGTAGCACGTGTTCCGAAGAGGTAATTGTGAACTAACCCAAAGGCGGAGAATACCGCAAACAAAACTTACATACACTCTTCAGACACTGATTAGTATATGCGCACAATGAACATACCGCAATAGTTCGCGACATTCAGACACCATTGTACCAGACGGGCTACATTACGTTCTTCTCATATTCCTGCAGTAAGCTAGTGGTACATAGAGATATATGCGTGAATAGCGAGATGACGATAGCGGATTACAATGCTGCTAGGAGAGCCAAATTTGGTGGATAGGTTGGGGATGCGCCGATGCGGTGAGGGATGAGGTGGGAGGGGGGAGTGGCGGGGAAGCATGAGGGCGTTATACATGGTGAAGCCAGCAATGACAAAAGCAGCAAAATCTAACATACAACGACGTATAAGTCATGGGTCCGTCAAATGTCCTCGTCCTTATCTTCCAGTTGCGACGGCTTGAGCATTCCCGGGATCCGCATGGCGGCTTGCCGCTCTTCCTGGGCTTTGCGTTGCGCTTCAGTCTCTTTTTCTTCAAGATACAACTCAGCGTTATCCCCAGAGAATTCCTTGAGTTGAATGAGGAAGTCGCGAAGGGCAAGTTTGAAGCGATTGATATCGCTATGGTATTCGCCGAGGGACAGGACGAACGACTGAATTTGCACGCTGAAAAACATGCGCGTAAATTGGCAAGAAATAAGAGCTGTGATAGAACGAATAAAAACCTTTGAACATGCGGGAACGCCGATTTTAACAAATTAGCAGTGTATTCCTTGAGGAACATTGAGTTATTAATAGACGGATCCGGGACTGTCGACGGATCGAACAGAGGTACAGTGATGTGGCTGGTCTCCACAAGCTGGAACATCCGAGCAAGTAGTAACGATTGCAACTTGAACCCACTCTTGTGGTCGGTGTCTGTAAGCACAAAGAAGATGTCTTGCATTATGCTCAAGAAGTACTGTTGGAAGAACGCGTTCGAAACTCCCGTATCGGCACCAGCGAAGTTATTGATGACCTCCAGGCATACTGTTGAACCTAAGCTCGCATCGACACCGCAAGACAAAAACATAAGGACGCACAGTTTAACCCGGTTTCTGCGATATCGCGCATGGTATGCTTGATCGCCCAAATAATGCTATCCATAAACAACTTGAATTGTGGCGGAGGAAGTGTGAGCAATGCTGATGGCGCATGTCAGGACATACCCAGCCGAAGATCAAGTCAGCACACGTACCAGGGAAACAATTGAGATTGATGGCCCGTAAAAGCTTGAAGAATCCGACGCGATGCTCCGGGAATTCCGAAAAGTCTTGGTTGATCATATTCAATGTAGGCTCAAAGACGGCCTCAAGCATAGCCGGCACTTGAGGGGTCAACAGAGGCTGAGGAGTTGTTTAGTATTAAAGCTGAAGCAGGGGAAAAACTCTACGTACGCCCAGTCGCCCGATAATGGTCGCCATCACATTCAACACTTCCGCATCCCTGGCAGCAGGGACATTACGGTTGTAGTCACCAAGTATCGCATCCAAAAATGGTGGCATGAAATTACTATTGACCGTCTCCAGGTCTTCCGCCCTCTTGATGAATGTTTCCATCAACTTCAGAATCTCTTTCTTGATCGTTCGAAGATTTCTGACTTTCGGTGTTTTAGTAGCGATCAAACCTAGTGGAAGAGTGCGAGACGCTAATCAGCCATAACAGACAAGCTTGACAAAGGCTACCGACCTTCTCGTGCGACGGTTTCACTGATGATGCCACTGACGGCTTTGTACAACCCCAGCATGTCCAAGAAGACCCGGCCAATTTGCGGTAAGTAAAAACTACCAATGGATGTGCAAGCAGCGACATTCGTTTTCAAAACATTGGACAAAATCTTGATGTTGTCCACACCATCCAAGACATCCATGCTCTGGGCCGCCTGGGCCATCAGAGAATCCCACTGCCAATCCATCTAATTCAGTTGTACGCTCGCGATCCGAAAAGCCGAAAGTCATACAGCATTATTTGGCAATTCCATCAACTTCGAGATGAGCTTCTCTTGGAGAGGCTTGTTCGGCTGAGCCGAGATCATATACCCTACCGCCTCGTAGAACGTATGGACCTACGACACATACCAATGTAACACCCGTAAGAGTCATCAAAAGGGGTACTGACCTGTTGTGGCGAGAGATCCACAGTGATTCTGTGAAGCAGACGGAGTATCTCGTCCACGAAAGGCTCCTGCTCCCCCGATTGTTGCATGACGAAATGTCTTCTGCATTTCTGCGCAATTTTGATGAACGTATCACAAGCCATGTCCTGAACACCTGTAGCGCGTCAAAATCAATTTACGACACATGCTGAATGACACAAGCAGCCAGCAACACAGAGAAACCAGTAGTGTCGCAAATGATATAGCAAAAAAGCTCACCTTCATGTGTCTCGTGCATGAATTCGAAAAGCTTGTTGACAACGGTCTTCAAAAATTTCCAGTGCGCCTTGAGGAACCGAGGATATTGCCCAACAATATACATAATATCTGAGGCAACGACGGCTTTGTTATCTTTACCCCTTTTGATCTCGCATAGGCCCAGCAAATCTTTGATCACGGTCACAAGGAAGCGCTTTTCCGTCTCTTCATCTATGGCGCACAACGTGCATTAGTGAAAACCATAGTGTAATCAATGCACAACGTACTCATTGCTCCAGAAATGGAACCGATAGCCCAGCATAGGGTATTGAGGTTTTGCCATGACCATTCAGAACCGTCGACTTGCTTCGCAAGCTTTTCCGTCAGAATATTCTCCGTATCATTGACGTCAAGATGTGTCAAGTATACTAGTAGCTCCCTCATCGACTTGTAGAGCACAATAGTATCAATCTCCTTCATAAATTCCCGCACTATCTCGCCTTCTTCGTTCTCGACAATGAGGACCTGTGAAGTCTAAATAAAAATGCATCGAAAAAAGAGACGTAAGTACTTACTTCTTCGGGTTTCACCATCTTTTCGATTACGACAAGGCGCAAGTTCGATAGAACATCGCTGTAAATGTTCTTCCGAAGAGCCATGCCGTTCAACATGTTCTGACTTGCGCCTCCGAGACTGAGGCCCATTAATAGCCCGCTCTCGCCGATAGGGAGGCTCTGAATTTCCTCGTATAACTCCGCAACGAGTTTCACCCAATATTCCAAACAAATTTTGAAGATCTCGCGTTCGTCGACTTGTGAGATCTTGACCATATACAAATGAGCGTTCAACAGAACATCGCGGTTTTGCTCAGTTTCGACGGCACGTAGATGATTCGAGAGGAAGTTAGACAAAAAGAGTGCAAGATTGAGCACAAGTTCTTGACCCGAATCGCCGGCGTTCGCATACGCTTGGGCGATGTTCGTACTCGGAGGAATCATACGATTGACAGAGGTCATCACCATTGCAAAGAGGATGACGAATTTGGGATCATATTCTGGACCAACCGTGAGACCCGCTATCTCCGCTAGACACTTCAAGGTGACGTTTCGGAACTCTGGGGCTTCGAGAAACTGAAGAAAACTCAAAAAGGTAGGTCTGTGTAAATACAAGGACCTTGGGGAAAACTCACCCGGTTGAGCAACAAATCGATGATCGTAGTCTCAAAAATGTATCCAAGAGGAATCCAATTCAAGAATCTAAGCAATGTCTCCAGCGTCGCTCTGATCAATGAGGTCTTCTGCGCCTCTTCGAGAATCTCTGAGCACAGCTTGAATATTTCCGAGAACTCCCCGCACATCTGGTTCTTCAGGTTCTTCACCTTTGCTTGCGTCATTTGTTCTGTAGAATAGTCGAAGATTTCCTCTGATAGGAGCTTGAGAATGATCATATTGTTCTCGCAAAGAGAGAGGTTGGTCTTTGACGATTCGACTAGTTCAGTTATGAATGTCGGCCAGTTGTGTGGCCACTCTTGCTTCAGAATCTAGCTTAAAGATCAGAAGTGCCATAGAGCCAAGGGTCAAACAACACACCTGGACGAGTGCGAGATTTAGCTTGTTAAGGTACGTCTTTTCTCTCCGCATGACGGCCTCGTCCGACGCAACCTTCACCGTGATTCCCACAACAAAATTGCGGATGCCTGAGAAAAATTACAATAAGCTCTCTCGGGTAGACGTGAAGTGAGCTTGCCCTGCCGCTGCCCATCTGGCAATGACTTCCACCTGGTCGTAATCAGTTTCTCAAGTATCTGAAGACCTATGTACTAACGAAAGTCAAATGAGACCCATAACCGCAGATGCAAGCAGCGTGAAGTACCAACCTTGGTTTGTGGAAAGGCTGAATGCTCCAAAACATCCGGTACACGAGTCCATGCTTCCGGGTTGTCCTGAAACTGTGTGAGGACCTGCTGCGCCATTTGTTGCTATGTGGGATATAGCCATCAACATCAATCCGAGCACAGACACCACTGGCACACACCTCTTGTCCAGTGCCAGAATAGAAGGCCATGACCACCTTATCCATGAGCGAGACATCGAACTCTTTGGAGAAGTCCAATATGCCCTGAAAGATCGTGAGCATCTTGCGCCGAGGAAAGAGGGAAAAAAACACAGGCAGACCTCCATGGCGAATGCTATCAATGAACGCGTAGAATGGTGAGCGTGGTGGTCGTCGATGACGAGCGTCGCGTCGATGGCAAGGGGCCTGTGGCTTGGGCAGAGGGTCGTTGGCCAACCAGATCTGCTGACGCATCTCCGATAACGCGTTTTCAATCTCCGACAATGCAATTGCCTGTGGCATCTCGATGCCGACAACGCTTGTTCTGTCCCGTCGACACCCTCTGAGTCCCACTCGAGCAACGAGAGCACTGGTTAGAATTGCGATGATTGCGTTCATGTGCGCAAAGCTCTACGATAATTTTGGCCCTTACGCATGGGGAACGGCTTGCCCACGCACAGCCGAGTCACGCCAAACGCTGGCTTTTGTCAGCTTCGCCATCCGCCTTCGTACTGTCTTTTGACTCCGGACCTTGCTCCGAGATTATCGGGAACCATCTGCACCGGATGGCCGTATGTTGTCTTGACGCGACTGTTCATGGCAGTAGTTGACCACAAAAGTAAGGTGCCCCCACCGTGACCTTAACCCTTCCTGTCCTTGGCCATCATAATGGAGGCACTGCATGCGCGTGAAAAGCAGCAGCTAGTAGGAAGCGCGACTCGGTTCAGGTTAGGTATGTAAATACCCAATTTAAGCAAAGGCGGCATTCAGCTCGCCGTCGGGTGTATTGATCACACTTTCGGCGATGCAACGGTGGATTGCGTCGTAGAGGCCATAACATTAGAGTCATGCTACCCGAACGCTGAATACTTTCTCAATGGGTTAATACATCGGCCTTCCAGCTCCACGTGTCATTCAACGATTCTCTGGTGTTCAGCCGCACAAATCTTCGTTCTTCTTGGATGCACTGCAGTCAGCGACTGGACGATAGAAATGCCAACGCAGCGCTTCCGATCTGTGGGTCTCGGCGTGGGTAGTGTAGTGTGGGGGAGGGCCTGGTATGCGTACGCGCCGGCGGGGGGGGACACCAGAAGTTCCATCTATGCGGGCGAGTCGGTTCTTCTGCGTGTGACAGAATTCGACAAACAAATATCCCACTACAGGCATGTGACCTTTTCCAAAGAGTAGAAAGTTTGAACTGTGCAGGATAAAATGTGTAAATCCAGTCCAACTGAATGGGCTGCGGGCAAAATTTACACTTTTGTTGGACCTGCTCTAAACTTCTACAACAGGAAAAATGGTCACATGGTTGTAGTGTCCACAGTTTACTGGTTATATTGTAAGCCTCCGCACCATCCCCTCACTAAGGGCATCACAGGAATCACCTCCTCTTTTTGCCATCAGTTGGCGGATGAATTCAACCATAATTGAAGCAGATAATACTGGTTCTTTCCTGACGGCAAGAGCTGAGAATGAATTTATGAGATTTGTCTGCCTTATCGAAATAGCTTTGGAGAGGCATGGAATGGTTCAAATGGCTTGGTGACGTTAATTGCACGTGGAAGCTCTTATCGAATGCCATGATATTTATTCAAGCCTGGGTGAGGTAAATTTTTATTTGCAGACCAGTAACTGTAACCGTCATGAAGGTTTAGAAGGACTCGGATCTCCAGCGCTGGCAGGTGGCTCAGTGATCCGGATATGGGCTGAACTCCTGGGATAGTCGTCGCTCGCATTCGTTTGATGGTACTTTATGTCTCCGTCTGTATACATACTTGAGTTTGTATGTGCCAATTGCTATGCATATCTTGTCCAGCGGATCTGTGGCTATTCAATATTCATCAGTTGGCAGTGGATCTGGAAGTGAACTAGATTACTTGCCTTTTTAGGGGCGACTACCGTCAATCTGCGATCCACCATGGAAGTCCCCGTGTTTTCCTCTTCTCTTGTGAACAGGCTCAGTGCCTCGACTCTGCATATAGTCGAATCCGTTTACATGGTGTATTGCGCACGGTAGAGTGTTAATCATTTCCTGAGGTGAGATAGTACATCCGAATCAACTTCACGAATGATGCTAAGAGGGACGTCTGCCTTCGTCTTCATCGACGTAGATGTCTCAAATAGAGAACAGCGCCACGATTCCCCTTTCATTAAAGCTGGTCGCAGCAGCAAGTCCTATCTCACAGGGCGCAGAAGCAGCAAGTTTGACAACACTCTTCTCGTAGATCACGCTGATGGCTCCTGGCGGTGATGTGTAGAAAGTCTACAAAGTCTTCCTCCATCCTCAATGCGGGGCTTCTGCTTCGGAGGCTGATTACGTACTTCTGAAATATCGTTTTCGTAAACAATATCGTCATCCGACGCTTGATACATCCCTGACAAAGTCAAGAGTCGCGGGAGAGGCGCGCGCGCTGATCAAATGTCTGAGGTGAGCGACCCATACGACTCATGGGATTCTATATCACGGGTCAACTTCACGCGTAGAAATGGTGTCAATGTACCGGGAATACGCATGGTTGATGCGGCAGAGGGGTTGCTTGTTTTGGAGTGGATTGATGCAAAAAGTGTGCGGTCCTTGTTGGGCGGTGGTGCCGAAGGGGGGGAAGAATCTTCTCCTGAAGTCTCTTCCCTTGAAGACATTTCTCCTGATCAGGTTCAAGATGAGCCAGAAGATATACTTCTAGAGAGCTGTGGCGTAAGACAGGGTGCGAGGTTCATCGTATACCCCTGTGTTGCATCCACTGATCCCTCTTTCCTAGCAGATGATGTTATGTCCATGATCGGCGCAGAGATCGCCAAAATGCATCAGGCCGATATCATTCATGGAGATCTTACGACCTCAAATATGCTGCTACGGGGTCCCTCATCGCAGAAAAACCTACAGCTGGTATACATGTCTCTCCATGTCTGTTCTCGTATGACTAATCCCATCAAATGACACTATTCAAGGTTCTGATCGACTTTGGACTAGCGTATACCTCAACATTGACCGAAGATAAGGCTGTCGACCTTTATGTTTTGGAGCGCGCTTTCTCTTCCACCCATCCTGCCTCAGAGCCGCTGTTTGCTTTAGTACTCAAAGCATACCAAGACAAGATGGGTCGGGAGTGGACGGCTATATCGAAAAGACTAGATGATGGTTTGTTGCTAACAATGTTGGTATCAATTGTCCGCCTCTAACTTACATTCTTACAGTACGATTACGGGGACGAAAGCGTAGCATGGTTGGATGATGTTCCTGATTCTCATCCCTATAGCGTATCCAGCTCACAATGCGGTTCATGGTTGTATCTACTTGAAAATCGTGATGGAGTAAACGGACTGGTTTCTCGAGAGTCAGGAGCGCAGCTTGTCCCTCGGATTAAAGACCCGCAAAGTCTGTGAGCTTTCCTGAGACTGCCGAAGATGCCTTCAATGCTTCTGGCATGAATGACTACGACCCTTATTCTTTCGTTGTATGATCCACTTATCTTCCCGACTCGTACTCAGAATCAGTGGAATTTTTTATCACAGTTCCAACGCGCTCACGTGGGCGTGTCGTGTTGCCGCGACTCGGTGGTTATAACTTATCGGTTGATCCCGAAGCGCGCTTAGTGGCTTTCGTTGCTACATCGACGGCGAGCGGTCCGCTTCACGCCTCGGGCGCGCCGATAGGTACATCATCCCGCGATCTCGATGAGGTGAGCAGCTTATATAGCCCGAGTCTGTGCCCGGGATCCACATGAAGCGAGCGTTCGACTGAACCCGAGAATACGCCAGGTGTCTGACTCGACACGCGCGCTCCTCGGATTCTCTCCAACGCCGCATTCTTGGGGGTACAGCGTATCCGTTACAACGATACTGAGAGAATGTCGGTCGAACTTTCTGAGATTCCCGTGGGCGAACCCCTCAGTAGAGTCGCCTCGTCTGCCAGTCCTGATGCTGTACGGGACAAGACTTCATCTCCGAATCTCACTGGTGCTGGCGAAGCCCAAAGAATATTATTCGATCCCCCTCCAGATGACGTCGAGGTCTACCCCTGCGGCGCATGGCGTGCTTGGAGTACAGGTAGTATCTCATACATCTTTTGCCTTGGAATTTGTACTGAACCGTCTGCAGTATTAGGAGCCTGGCTCCTGCAGTTCTGCGTCGTGGGATATGTGAGTAAAGCTTTTGCACCACGCTGCGTAGATAGGCGATGGCACTTTCCAGCTTGTTTGTCGCCTTCGGTATTGATGAAGAAACCAGATGTCTGCTTTCGGAGTGATGCAGTCATATTACTCGCACGGATTCCTCGATAATGAGTCTGCATCTGCGATTAGTTGGATAGGCAGTCTGCAGCAATTCCTTGATCTGGCACTAGCAGCTCTTGGAGGTCATTTGTGAGTCCATTTAACCTGTAGTTTTTATCCCGCTAACAGACATGGGTGTAATAGGCTGGACAGAGGGTATTTCCGACACGTTGTAGTCACAGGGAGTGTCTTGTTCAACTTGTGGTATGTGTTCTGACTAGCGTCCTGACTTGTGTCGTCTAACATGTACATTTGACCTCATACCTTTCCGACCAATTCATGCGACACCAATCAAGTCTCTTCATGCTATCTCTTGCCCAACCACATCATTATTACCAGGTTTTCCTCACTCAAGGCCTCGGTATGGGTGCAGGTGTTGGTCTGATTTACCTACCCACATCTGCTGTTGCCTCACAACACTTCAAAAAATATAAAACATTTGCCATTGTGAGTGAACACCATAACCAACACGGCTATGAACAGTTTGTGATGATAGCTTCATGCTGTAGGGACTTGTTATGTCGGGTGGCTCACTGGGCGGTTTTGCGTTCTCTAGTGCGTATTACGCCGATCATTGCTTATTTACCCTTGATTAAGCACATGCCAGTTGCTCTGAATCAGCTCTTGAACGGATCTCTCAGCTTCGGCTGGGCCATCCGAGTAACAGCATTCGTTGCGACGGCGCCGCTTTTGCTCGGCAATCTTCTCATATTCGAGCCCCCTAGGCATCAAACACTCCTATCTCCTGTGCCCAATGAAGGAAGCACCCCAAGTCGTGTAGAAGCAGAAACAGAGTCTTCCGAGGCTGTCTATGACTCTGAACAGACCCTCGATGTCCAGCCAACACCGATTAATGCGACACCTTTCTGGGATAGGAATTATATTTTTATGCTTGCATTAGGATTCTCGATTGGCCTCGGAATGTGGTTCCCGTCATCATTTGTCCAGTCGTATGCGCAACAACATAATATCGACAGACAGCTAGCGTTCTATGCACTCGCTATCATGAATGTTTCGAGCGGTGTTGGACGAATCCTGCCGAATTGGTTCGGCGATAGATGGGGCCCTCTGGACATTTACGTGATATGTCTTTTCTGCGCAGGTACATATACCGAATACTATACCCTTCATATAATGACTCTCCGTGTAGGTGCGCTTGAGTTCGCAATGCTCGGCTGTTCGACGGCATACGGCCTTGTGCTATTCACTTTGTCGTGAGTGCAGACTTGTCGTATTGACTGGATACATGTATTGACATTTGCCAAGCTATGGATTCTTCTTGGGGACAAGTATGTGTAATTGGGTTTTTTATTTGACGTTTGTGCTGATTCGAGTTCAAAGCCGTGTCCCTCTATCTTCCTGTAGTATCGTTGCTCAGTAAGGATGGTGTTGATGTCGGGTACGTTGCAATGGTTTTACAGCAACAGATTAATTTCACCCTTGTTATAACAGCAAGCGCATGGGCGTCGCACTCTTTCCTGTCGGTGTTGCTTCGCTCATAGGAAATCCGGTGAACGGAGCTCTTGTTGGGAAAAACAGCGCCTGGTGGAAGGGAGTGACACTCGCTTCGGTATATGATCATCTGCCCTTATATTCACTTGAACTAAACACTTTGCTCATAGGTCGCAATGCTGACCGGGGCTTCACTAGCGTTAATTCTACGACTCTCTAGGTTGCGGGGTCCAAAGCGTCACTCGGATTGAGAAAGCTCTTTACATCAACTAGGGATATTGTTCCATTTATCACAAGACGATGTGTCATTGGACAAGATGATTTTACTCTGAACTGGCTTGAAATCAGCCCATAGTACTAATCGTCCGAAGATCGCGTGGTGCTTGCCCATCCACTGTACTTTGCGGAAGGCTTCCGTGGTCCCCGCTCAAGCAGTACATAGCTGCTTTAGTGTTAACTACGTGGTAGGCGATGACTTTGCGAGTTTGGAGTTGGCCAGTTGGATCGTGGATGTTCGAGTTCAATTCGAGTCTGAGACTCAGAGTCATTGCTTCGACGCGCTCACGTGAACGCGTCGCGTCCCAACGCGCGCATGTCGACGGTAGATCCGGGTCTTGCTCATCCATATCACCATGATCGACCCGTTTCAGCTGCAAATTTTATTCTTCTGCCTTCCGCTGCATGTCGGGGTCAGCAGGATGACGAACGAGGATGGGTGGCTCTTTCTCCTGCTTTAGACTCTTTCCCTTCATCATAATCGTGAGCAACTAGCTGGGTCCTACAGTCCATCTAGCGCTGGCAGCACTTCGAATCGAATAGTCGCGCCGACAATTATGGCAACGGAGCTTGAAGAGCTTGAACTCTCTAAGTTGCCGTCGCGGCTGTCTGGTTGGGCAACGTCTCCTGAAGATTTTAAATCGGACCCAGACGAAAGTTCACGTCCTGAATCAAGCCATATTCTACCCAACGTTCCTTCGGACAAGGACGAATTCTACCCTTCTGGTGCATGGCGTGCTTGGTCTACAGGTTGTAGTTCTTATTTTTAAGTGGCGTCGCACATGAATTGACGAGGTATCGATCTAGTCCTGGGAGCATGGCTCATACAATTCTGCATTTCGGGCTATGTGAGTCAATGTCACCTTCGGCATATGAATTCTCTTTTCACAGGCTGATCGAGTGCTAGATGTCCGCCTTCGGAGTGATGCAGTCATATTACTCGCGAGGATTTCTAGACAACGAGCCTGCATCTTCTATTAGTTGGATAGGCGGTTTGCAGCTATTTCTAGACCTTGCGCTAGGGGCTCTCGGCGGTCACCTGTGAGTGCTGATCTCAGTGTAAGATATTAGTAGCTGACTTTATCAATCAAAGTGTGGACCGAGGGTACTTTAGACATGTCGTGATAGCGGGAAGCACCTTGTTCAATCTATCGTAGGTGGCAAAGATCATTTTCCATTTACGCGCTCTGACCAGGGCATTTCACGGTGACCTTTGTCCCTCATACGGTATCTATCATGGATAAGCCTCTTCATGCTCTCGTTAGTCCAGCCACATCATTATTATCAAGTCTTCCTGACTCAAGGGCTCGGAATGGGCGCCGGGATTGGTCTCATCTTCCTGCCCACCTCTGCCATCGTGTCTAAGCATTTTAAAACGTACAGAGCGTTTGCAATGGTGGTCATTGGTTATTCATTGATTGTGACCAATCGTGACTGAGCACGTTGTTGTAGGGCCTGGTTGCATCGGGCGGTTCACTCGGTGGATTCGCTTTTTCCAGTACGTGCAAAGTTTGCATTCACAGTTCCCAATACAGTTTATCTGATTGATTAGTTGCATTAAATAACCTCTTGGAGAGCTCTCTTGGATTCGGCTGGTCTATCCGAGTGACCGCGTTCATTACAACGGCACTTGTGCTGCTTGGGAATTTACTTATATCGGAACCCAAGCCACAGTCGCCCTCAGCTGGTCTGCTAGAAGATGTTCAAGAGAGTGGCGATGCTCTTAGACAGATACCTATGTGTTCAGCATCGTTCTGGGACAAAAACTACCTCTTTCTGCTTGCGGTGGGAGCGTTCACTGGTCTTGGGATATGGTTTCCCTCGTACTACGTGCAGTCATATGCACTGCAGCATAACGTCAACACGCGTCTGGCTTTTTATGCTGTAGCTCTGATGAACCTCGCCAGCGGAATTGGTCGGATTTTACCCAACTGGCTAGGGGACAGGTGGGGAGTGTTGGATGTTTATGCGCCTTGTCTGTTCTGTGCCGGTACGTTGGATGTCGGCCTTGACATGAGTCTCAGACCTCATGTTTTGCGCAGGTGCGATCGAATTCGCGATGTTAGGATGTTCGACTTCATATGGGCTTGTCCTTTTTGCGTTGTTGTACGTGTTCAATCGGGGTAGTGGTCAAGTCACTGCTGAGTAGTATTTATTTAGAGCTACGGATTTTTCTTCGGAACATGTGCGTGCGATGGCTCACATAAAACTCCCCACTGATAAGCGGATCTAGCTCTATCTTTGTATCTTCCCGTAGTAGCATCACTGAGCAAAGATGGTGGCGATGTCGGGTATGTTATTGTCGGATTACTGGAGAACTGCCAATCTCAGCGGACTGTTGCAGCAAGCGCCTGGGAATCGCACTGTTTCCGCTAGGAATTGGCTCACTAATCGGAACCCCCATTAACGGAGCTCTTGTTGGGAACAACTACGCTTGGTGGAAAGGAGTTACATTTGCATCGGTATGTTAGTCAAAACCGGTTGTACTTGGGCTTACACTATGCATGCATAGACGACGGTATGTACTGGAGCGGCACTGGCGCTGATCTTGCGGATTTCCAAGTTCCGAAGTCCAAAGTTACACCATTCAGATTGAACATCTCGCTGCGATTATTATGTGATTCTAGATCAGCTGTATGATATATCCTACACTATGCTATTCGCCCAGCGTAACACCAGTGCAGTTAGGGAGCGAAATGTGCATGTTCCGTTCGTCAAATAGATTATGTCGATGCCGCCGCAGACGAGGGATACCATCGACTGGTACAATTGCTATCTTGATACAGAATCAAACTAGATCGGCTCGATCGTCGGGTCGCACGCCCGCGTGCGCTGGCTCTGCTCTTTTCGTCTCCTACCTGGACCTCCTTGCCTCCCTGCGGGGTCGCGCTCTCCCAGCTCACAGGGCTCTCGACACAGCATGCCCTTTCAGGCAAACAGCGTGGCTCAGCGGCAATCAGAATTCTCACAGATCGAGGTGGAAGCTCTCCGCGCTCCGTGTCATCCTCTTCGTCCTCCACCACCATGAACACGTTCGTGACTGCAGCAGTCGGGGTAACTCAGCTGGCCGGAAACTTGAGTGGGGTTCCGTACCTTGGCGCTGCGGCGTCGGTGGTTGGAGCAATTCAGAATTACTGTCAACAAGTCGCCACACACAAGGTACGCCACTTCTGCCTCTCGCCTCTCGTATTGAGCTTCTCATTGTATGTAGCGCGGGTGCAAGCTACTGGCCAACAAAGTTGCTCAGATCCTGCCTCTACTTGAGGGACAGCCCATACTGGAGTCCCCTGGGCTGCGCGAGGCAGCGGACGAGATGGAATTGTACGCCATGGCGCCCGTGGTTCTCATCCAAAGCTCATCGTTCAACAGGGTACTATCTGCAATTCATGATCGTGTGAGGAAATGGTCACAATATGGTCGGCTCGCAGCATGGAGTGAGTTCTCATTGTGTTCAGGACTACGCCACACTTCTGATCGACTTCAGTAAATGATCAACAGATCAGCGACGGACTCTCTAAATCTATCTATGACCTTGAAACCATAATGACCAAATTCAATGTAAGTGTCTACAACCATGGCGATTCCGATATACATATCTTGTGCAGATGCGCGCGCAAATACATTTGAACAACGCTCAGGTTCAATTCAAACAATTGATAGAATATCACCAAGAGGAATGGCGCTCTGCGAGATTGCAAGACGTTCAGGAGAGAAAGGAGGTCACCTCGCAGATTCTACGGAACCAGCAAGATGTACACATGGTCGCAGAGTTATACAAGAGCGGACAGCCTGCCGCACAGCGCCTCATGGAGGCCGGCCAACAGGTATAACTCCAAGCTGTGTGCCGCATGACGCTGTACCACACGCTCATGATAGCAGCTTCTTGCCGACAGTTCTGACCAAAACGAAATGGGAGATCAAGAACGCGATTTGTGTCGACAAGGACTAGTCGAATTGCACCAACTCACAGGAATTCCTCCCTCAATCAAACGCTTGGATGGGGAGGTTGTTCAAGTAGGCTTCATGCCCGTCGCCAAAGGTGGTCATAGTCATGTGTGGAAAGGGCTTTGGCTGGGGAAGAAGCCGGTTGGTGGCCCATACACCGTTCTCTGACTTATGGGGGCTCAAGACGATTCTGTAGGTTGCTCTGAAAGTCTTGCAAGGAGTAGCAGTGTCCGAGCGGGCGGAAAACGTAAGTTGGCTCGTGGCATATTGATATCTGGTACAAACTGTTCCCATACCTACAGCGCTTCAAGAACGAGATCAAAATCTGGGACAAATTACACCATGTTAATGTCCAGCCGCTGTATGGTATTCTCCTGAATTTGGGCCCATACATATACACAGTGGGTGCGATTCAATTGACGTGAAAGCAACACTAGACATACACTCTCAAAGGTATCCCCATGGCAAGACAATGGAAACATTTTGGAGTGAGTTTGAACGATAATCATACGACAGCCATGAGTGTTGATCGTTTCACGCAGCTTTATGAAGGTAAATCCTACGGCAGACAGACTTCGACTAGTAAGATTTATCCAATATTACGAGCGGGAATACGAGAGAATGATTTCTCGTCATTGGTGACAGTTACTCGGCGCAGCTAAAGGAGTCGCTTATCTACATGACGAGCTAATTGTTCACGGCAACGGTGCGTTTAGTTTTGCTTGATGTTCGATTTCGGCCGACTGATTCGTTACATTAGTGAGATGTGTGAGTATCATTGTCTACGCATGAATGTAACATTGACATGGGTTTTACAAGGCAAACATCCTGGTTACTGCTGAGGTTCGTATTAATAATGACGTCGTAGTGCCCTGCTCATATATGTGCTCCAGAGGGAAGCTTGCATTTGTGACTTTGGAATGTCCAAACTCATTGGGGATGTCACTGAGACGCCGGCATCTGCAACTTTGACGTCGGCTGGCTCAACCCGGTGGATAGCCCCAGAACTCATTTTCGACGCTGACTTGGCCTCGCCAACTCTAGGCTGCGATATCTGGTCGTATGGTATGACTATGTTGGAGTGTTTTACCATGCGTCCGCCATGGGGAGATGTAAAGCGCGAAGCTCACGTCATAACAATAATGGAGAAGCGAAGCAAGCATCCCACAAGGCCTGAAGGCCACACGATGCCTACGGACGATGTATGGGCGGTGATGGTGGCTTGTTGGGGATGGGAACCTCACGACCGCATGGCTATGGGCGAGGTAGCTTCTCGTTTGCAACTCTGCGTGAATCGGGTTGGGTGAATGTTGATAGAAAATCTGTTTTGCTTTGCTTTGTATCTGCTTTATATCTGCTTTGTATTTGCTTTGTATTTACTTTCGGGAACTATTCCTCCGCATCTCATGTACCCCTCTGTAGCAATATTTAATTCAGATCATCCAGTGCTGACAGCGTGAAGCGAGGATTTATTGGCTGGTCTCGCGCGCTCGGCCTACGAATTCAAAGGCAGTTGCGCCGGGAATCGATATATTCACAATCTCGATACGAAACAAGCTAGATCGGCTCGATCACGCCTACTAGAAATTGGAATGCAACGGCCGGGG